TGATGTCAGACATTGATTAATCAATCAGCGTTGACGTTTCTAGTGGTTTACACACAGTTCCGTGCACATCACACCAAAAACTTGTCGTAGCAGATCTTTTCATTGGCTAATCCCTCACATCATCCAGAACGCCGGTTATATAACAACTCTTCCAGATCCCAGTGTAGTAAAGACAAGTAAAACGAAATTTTGAACTATAAAAAACGTCAAAGGTGATTGAGTAATCAATATCTGACGTCATAGGGTCAAAAGTCGCTCGTACGACCCCTGACACGACCTTCGAGTACAAAGTGTTGGAAATCGACAAAGAGAAGGCGGGAACGTCACTGTCCGGACACAAGTCTACCCGTACCACAGAAATAAAAATTACAATATTATGTTGGTCTCAAAATTCTCATTTTCATCTGGTGACTCATTTTTATTTTAGAAACCATGCATAATACATGTTTTTGGGAAAGATCTATTTGCTAAGGCCAACTTCAAGTTTGGTCAAAAGTCACGAGATGTAAACAGGGCTAGCGCTAATTTCAACCCTAAACCCTGGACCTAGCCCTTACGCTGCTTATGGGGACCAAAAAAGTGTTTTATTTTAGAAATCTGTTGATTAAATATGAATCGCCCATTTAGTTAGAAAAAAAAATACAAAACATTCTCTTTTTTTATGTATACATAGCCTCCTGTGCAAAACCTAGGTTGATTCAAAGGTTTCACCTGCATCGGAAAAACGATCGCCGGCCATTATTAAAATATTTTATGACTTGCAACTGGGTATGGTATCAGTTTGTTTTCGAAATATCTCTATATTGTCATTGGGCGGGAGCTTATTGAAATACCGTAGGGGCAGTTAAGGGCTTCTGAAATGTTTCAAAATATGTTTCCTAAATGTACCCAGCTTTCTATGTTATCGCTGGAGAGGGTATTATTGCATCACGACTCCCCAACTTCATAGATACCAGCCATTTCTTTTGAACTTTTGAAAGGGTTCGTAGTAAGTTTTCTTGAAATTGCCCTTATTAAATAAAAAGACCAGGCTTAACTTCCATTGAAAAGCAGTGCTATAGATATAAAAATAATACTTATATATTATGTTTCATGCATTGGGTTGCGTTTAACCCAGCATTATAAATACAACACCTTTTCAAATCGATCATGACTTTTTCTATTAAATATGTGTTTTTTCCAATGCTTTGATACAAAATAAACAGTTCTCGATCACGCCCTTGAGGTGTACCGTCATTTATTTGTTTAGACTCAAAGTCGGCATAAAGCTTATTCACCTGTTTTTATCAATGGTTCGTCAAACTGTAAACGCCCTTCTCTTACATTAATTAATCACGCTATCCTACTGGGCAATATAATACTTTATTCATGTAATACAAGTCGCTGTTTCAATAGATGACAACATTCATAAAGATGGTCCTACATTTATGGCCATATTTAGCCCAAAAATGTGCAATTAGTGCTACGAACAGCAGAGAGAAAGAGAGAGCGAGAGAGAGAGAGAGAGAGAGAGAAAGAGAGATGATCATTTTGCGACAGACATATGGTTCAATATTATTTCAATAATTCGCTTGTGCGTATAGGGGTCTGTAGCAGTGGGAGAAAACCCACGAAGTTGGACAGGCGACCCTACTCTTTGTCACGTACAGCAAAGGGATCGAAGCCACGTACGTCAGTTGACTCAATAGAGACTTTTGGCAAACGTAAATTATTGGTCCGTATTGCGTATCCGTAATGATTTTGCGTGTGACATCATCAATGCGTGTGTATTTCTCATACGTGATACGGCACGCGGATACGGCAGCACGTATCGAACAGCTTTCATACGGAAAAGGTTCGTATAACATCGTCGTCTTTTTACCGTATGTTTTGCTACTTTTAGACGCTAAAATGTTGTGCCGTAGCGTTTTTTATGAATGTGTATCCTAGAACACGAAGGTGATTTTAACCATGGCAAAGCTTGGAATTTAATTATTACTTTTGATGAGCTTTTCGCGGAATTTTAATATTTTTCCTGTCTGTCTGCACGCTGGTTGATCTACGTGCTAAATTTAGGGAGGTGGGACCTTGCAAATCTGTAAAGGGGGTATATACTTTCTGAAATGATACATTAGTGAAGATTTTTAATAAGATTCGACACTATAATTTTTAAAAATCTTTTTTAAATAACTCAGCGACTGTCGAACGACTTCACTCCCTTCAGGAATTTGTAGGCTATGTACTTGACTAGTACTGATGTTGATCTTGGTTGCCATTATGCTGTAATAAACTACGCTCAGCTCAGCTACCCATAGGTACGCGTCGCGAAGTCTGCCAAAACTCTAAAACTAAATTAACACAACGTATCACGTGACGATACGGATACGTTATACGGATGGGAAAAATTCCACTTGCCAAAAGTCTCTATTGACAGATCTTATGATACAACGCGCACGTGCTAATCATTCGGTCATCATTCGTACACGGAAACAGAGACCCGTGTACAAGTTGGAGTGCATGTAAAGATATCCTTGGCAGGGAAGGGACATCGACGAAGGGTAGGAGAAAATACTGTTGTCCAAGCCATGTTTATCTCTTTATACACACTACATAATGCTAGGTTCCCACTGCCGTGCGATGCGTTACGGTAGGATTGTCCCTATTGAGTCCACGATCTGGTACATGCAGATACCTTCGGATACGTTTCGATACGATCAACACGATTAATCCACAGGCACGTGAAGGGATTAAAATAAAACGTGTTACTACTGCTTGACTATATATTACAGTGTATACTGTAATATATAGTCAAGCAGTAGTAATAAGTTTTATTTTAACCCCTTCAAGTGCCCGTGGAGTACTCCACTATTAAAACCACGATCTTAATCGTAGCGCGGATCGTGAGAGAAGGGACCTAGCATTAGTCCTAATGGTTCAGAAAAATAGGACATAAAATATACTACTACTCCTTTTGGGTATCAAATCTATCATTACTCGTTGAAACAGTAAAAAATTTCGCGGAAGTTGTAGATTTGGTGACGCGGTGGCTCAGTGAATAAGACGTTGGCTCGCTAACCTGGGGATCCCGTGTTCGATCCCGTTTTGGCCGAAAAAGTTCGTCGTGATTTTCCGGCGCGGCTCCCCCTTGTCATTAGTGCAGGACGGCATGGCAAAGGACAACGTATAATCGTTCGTGTGGTATGAAAAACCGAGGGGCCCGTGTACACGTGGGCGTGCACGTAGAAATATGTGAATGGCTTAACAGTTATTTGAAAGTGAAAGGGATGTTGATACTCAAGGTCTCTAAATGTAACGATTGGTTTACAACAGTACAACATAATAAAATACTATAAACCAGAGAGGTAGAGCCTCCTTCATAATCCTTCACACATCTCGTTTTTCTTTTGAAGATCGTTTCATGCCCTTTTTTTTGATCTCCAAATGGCAAATCTTTAAAGCACTTTAAGAAAGTGGGCCTTTGAAAAGTAACCGATATCCACAAATGATTGCTATCACGTTGTTCATTTTTCGGTTACCCTTCGAACCTGCCAATTACGGTACGTCATTTTTGTGATGATAAACATTATTTTTGAACTAGGGAGCCTATATGCCTACCATCTAGAAACCAAAATGGCTATTGGGTCGCTATTTTAAGGAACAACGAGACATACACGAACAAAATTCTACTTCCTTCATTATTACCCACAGTGCAAACATTTCAAATGACATGCATATTTTTCAGATGACAGTGAGAATTTGGCAAATCAAATCATGTAATTTGAGTAGGCCGTTATATTGAAAAGTACGAAAGGAAAAAAACTACTCTAAAATGCACTACATGTTAAAACTGAATTATTTTAGTTATCAATATCTAAACGGTTAGTCGCGACTTTTGACAGATTAGCAACAAGTTGATTTCATTGAGCAAGCGATGCTAGCAAGATACAGAAAGCGATTTTTAAATACAAAGTCTAATTTTGTGTTTCATTGTGTTGGTATCACTTTGTTGACTTATAGGGCTTAAGCCAGTAATATAATAAACTTGTACGACCCGAATGATCTAGAACTAAACATCCAATTTGCAGGCATCTTGTTATTTTTTAGAATCTTTTTTAGAATCTGTTTATTTGAGAATGAAAGACTAAATATGTACGGTATGTAATTACCCGTAATTACCCAAGCTGGATAGATGAATAATCGCTGGGGCATAATAAACAACTGTGGTATAAGCCAACAAAGTTTGGAGGCAGACCACAATTGTAAAAATAAAATGAAATGGGGTTTAATGTCCTACTGTTCTGCTCCAAATGGGCTAATGAAGACGGGCATACGCCATACAGTGTGCTATGAGGGAAATTTTGCCTACTATATTATATCGAATTCCAACTGCCAAAGGATCTTTTACGTGCAACCAATGTACACACGGGAACTCGGTTTTTGGTATCATCCGAATGACTAGACAGCTGTCCTTGTCAGGCCCTCCGTCATGCATCACTGACAAGGGGAAACCGCGTCGGAAAATCCCGCGACCCACTTAGCCACCGTGGCCCCAAACCACCATTGTAGATCGTCTACTTATAACAATTCGCTCCCCTTTGCATGCCAATTAATGTTGATGTTTATGGTCTAGAATGGACAAAGATGAGCTGAATTAACATTTTCTGCAGGTTTTGGTAAATATTCATGATTTAGAGACTGAAGGATAGCAGATTTAACAGGTTGGTTTCGGTGATGTGTACGGCGAATAGTTACATGATTTTAGCCTATATTTACTACTTCAAGTTTGTGTATCTCAAAATTTTGGTGGTCAATCTAATACAAATTTCGTTGCAAGGACATGTGAGCATTTGTTTGTCTGTCTGTAGTGAAAAGCATTCAGCTCAACGAAAATTTTGGGAAAAGTTAGAGCCGTGCAAAGAAACAGAATTTTACAGTCAATGGAGAAATAATGGTGGTCTGTCTCCGTTTAAGTTAGTAAAGTTATTTCCCTTTATTAATATTCAATGAAAGAAATACTTTTAGTCGAAACGGAAAAGAGATTTTTTGCTGAAAAGTTATTTCATTGTTGTTGATTTTCTGTCTAATTCAAATGAAAAATGGGAGAGTCTAGCAATCTCTGACGTCAGAATTGTAAACATTGTACCAACTTAGGTAAAATGAGGTTTGTAGTACTTTGTCATTGACATCCAATTGATTAACTCACTGCACGATCCTAGTTATTCCCGTCGAATTCAGTGGGAACTACAATTATTATTAGATCTATATGAATATTAGAGAGAAAATGGATCTACAACAATCCCTGCCTGTTCGGTATAATTTTGTTAAATAACTTGAATAAAGGCGTACATTTCTAAAAATAAAAATCAAGGATGTAAGCTTGAATTAAACTATATTTCATTTAGGAACGGTTTGTGATCAGACGTTGCCCTATTCGTCCCTATTATTGGCCTAATGCCTATAATTAGCTGCAAATACCACTTTACTCCCACCTCTGTTCTATCTTTATCTTGTTATCTTATTCTAAAGCTATTTAGGATTCTTCTTTTTTCGTCAAAATGAATCATTTCTCGCCACAGCTGACACAAATTTATAATAATTCAACACTATATTTACAAGTAGAAATTTGCGATTCAAAAACATAAAAAAAATACATTTGAATTGGTCCGCCATTTTGGAATCCTTACTATCTATTTTTCACCGTGATTCTTCTTTGGTCGCTAAAAGGAATCATTTCTCGTTACATTTGACACAAAATTAAAATAATTTAACACTTAATTGTTCAGGTACCGGTAGATTTTGCAATTCAGCCATGAACCCGCGACCTCAATCTGTGCAAACGCGAGTTTCATATATATAGGCCTAATGGTGGACCAATTCAAATGTATTTTATTTATGTTTTTGAATCGCAAAATTCTACTTATAAATAGTGTTGAATTAGTATAAATTTGTTTCAGCTCTGGCGAGAAATCATTCATTTTGATGAACAAAAAGAATCCTAAATAGCTTTAGAATAAGATAGAACAGAGGTGGGGGTAAAAATGATATTTTCATATTACAGCTTAATAGGGACGAATAGAAACCGTGAGAGGATCGACATCGTCTGATTAGACACCGTTCCTAAAGGAACTAATACAAATATATCAAACAGAAGCTTGCTTATCTAAGCCTACAACTACAGTGTATATTTTTTTTAATATTCTGCAGATAGTAAGAGGCAGAACATTTTTGTAGTCAGTAGATGCCAAATGGGTTTTAATCTTGGTTAGTCACAGACTAAGACTTCAGGTATGACTGGGAATAGATTATCATTACCTGGAAGAAATCCTGCCTGTAATTATAGATTTACCAGTTGGACTGATAACTCAGGTATTTTTGAACCGTGGAAATGGTTGAGAAGTCGTGATACTGGCCTATTGAAAAACTCAGAGAGGAAAAGAATTTACCAGTCACTTTATAGCTGTGTTAAACCTATTGCTTTGTGGAATCCTCATGAAACACCAGATGGAAACAAACATGGTGCTGTTTTTAATTTTGATTTTTCTACTGATGGGTGAGGAAACCTGCTTTTTCTTTTCAGCTCATGCTTTTTAAAACAAGTAGAACAGGATTTGATTTTAACAAAAGTGGAATTTTATTTAATTTATTTATTATATTTTGAAATTATCTAATCGTGTCGTTGATGTGTACTATTGCCACTGCAGTCATGTCACATACTGCGATTCAGGTGCGATGATACGATTCGTATCACGATTCATAACCAGGTCCATATTTACCAGTAAAACAACAGGATGAATGAATAATTGATATTTTTACAGGTTAATTACTAAAACATCAAAAAAATTTAAAAAGATTCGAGAAAAATCGATGGACGAAAGTGTACAATATATTTTTATAAACATTATATAATAAGGCTTTTCAATGTTTCAGAACAATCCTGGTTGCAGCGTGTCAACATAGAAGCTTCCTCATGTTTGATCCTTTCAGTGGAAAATTGATCACAGAAAAAACAGAAGCTCATGCAGATTGTGTTAACTGTGTTAGGTAATTAAATTGGTGTTTGTCATTGTTAACAGGTACATAGCTTTTAAAACAGGTGTTGATAAGTCAGAATAGTAGATGATAGGGAATAACTGGTGTTGAGTCAGGGCCGTGTACTTGGGCTATTTATGCACAATTTGTAAAAATTTAATATGGGAGACAACTCCAATTAAATGTTGAGTTATTTACTTTATATTTAAACTCTAATGATATGATGCCCTTCCCTGCAGAGGTGGAAACAAGTCACAGAATCCCAAGTCTGAGTTCTAGGTCTTCACAAAGTCCAAATCGTGTTCAAGTTGCCATTAGCAATTTTTAACCAATAAGGAATAAGGCAAGTCCTTAGCTCTTCAAGTCTTGGGTTGTCCTGATTGTCAAGTCTCTAGTCACAATAGATATTTCAAGTCAAGCCACAGGACTCGATTTTCCACCTTTGCTTCCTTAAGTCTTTCAAGTTGCTAGTTGTCATGACTGTCAAATCTCTAGTTGCAATAAATATTTCAAGTCAAGTCACAGGACTTAAATTCCTACCTCTGCTTCCCTGACAGGTCATCATTTCTTGTAATTGAAAGCTTTAATAAGTCAGGGAATCACTGTGGCTAAGTGGGTAAGAAGCTGGCTTGCATTGGCCGAGAAAGTTCATCCAGATTTTCCAGCGTGATTCCCGCCTTGTCAGTGATGCAGGACGGAGGGCCTGACAAGGACAGCTGTCTTGTAATTTGGATGAGACGAAAATCCGAGGTCCCATGTACACATTGGCGTGCACGTAAAAGATCCCTTGACAGTTAGAATTCGATGTAAAAGTAGGCCGGAGTGCCGCTGTCCAGGCAAAATTTCCTTCATAGCACAATGTATGGCGTATGCCTGTCTTCATTAGCCCAGTTCGGGGAAAAACAGTAGGATGTTAAACTCCATTTCATTTCATTTCTTTAATAAGTCGCAAGCTGTTCAATATTGCTGTAACCTATTATATGGTTTTTTTTTATACCATGAAACCCCATTTGATTATTTTTCAGATTTTTGGATGGAAGACTTTTTGCCACATGTTCAGATGATAGAACTGTAGCATTATGGGATTGTCGTTATTTAAAGACTAAGATAAGAAGTTTAGAAGGTCATACATATTGGGTTAAGAATATAGAATATGACAGTAAAAATGGTTTGTTATTAACATCAGGATTTGATGGGAAAATCTGTACCTGGAATATTAATAAGTAAGTTCAGACTATAAGGAAAGGATATAATACCCCATCATTGGTATCCCCAGTGTCATCATTCCATTCTACTCCACTAGGACCTGGGTCCATTCAAGGGGGGAGAAACATATTCAATTTATCCTCCTTTGATCATTTTCTTAAAATTCCATAAATAGAATTAGAAAACAAATGAGCAAAGGGAAGTAACTCATATTATCTTGTAAACTTCTTCAAAATATTTTAGAGTATCTATTTTGTGTGCATGTCACTTCTTCAATATTAAATTTCTTGCAAACTTTCTCATAATTGAGCGTACAAGCTGCTGCATTGTGGTGAATGTAAAACAATGATGCTTGGTAAGACTAGTACACGTGTCTCAACTCTTTCTTGATTGGTTCATAGAATTAACCTACATATATGTGGCCAATGTATTCGTGATTGGATCCAGGGTTTAGTGAAATGATGCCACTAGGGATACCTATGATGATAATCCCCTGTTGTGACTCAGGGAGTAAGGCACTGGCTCAGTAACCTTGAGGTCCTCTGTTAGCAGAAAAATTTCCTTAGGATTTGTCAGTCTGATTTCCACTGTCAGTGGTGTACGATGGAGGGCATGGCATAGGACAGCATTTATTTGTTCAGATGGGAAGGAAAAATAAGGTCCAGCATGCTTGTTGGCATGCACGTTAAAGAACCCATGACTATTGAATTTTGATGAAGAGTTGGCTGAAATGCCACTGTGCAGGCAAAATTCCATTCATATCAAACTGAATGGTGTATGCCCATCTTCATTTGACTGGATGTTGCAGAAAAGTATGTATTATATTAAACATACATTATGCAAGAGCTAAATCTGTCTATTGCAGGTCTTTCGTTAGGCCTGAAATGTTATCTAAATTATTAATTAGACATTAATTAACTTATCCAAACCATAGTCAACTCTAGATGGCATCGCTAGCCTGCGATCTTAAGTGGATTGTGAGCCAATTTACTGTATAACTTTCCTTCTCGATTAAACGATTAAATAGATAATCAAGACTATGCTGTTTATCGTACTGACTTCAGTAATGATGACCGAGGCTAGGCAAAAATTTCATTGCTTTGTTTTTGGTTCATAGTGGATCAATTTTAATGAAATTTTCAGCAAATTGCCTTTACGTTATCTAGTTTTGAACTATTATAGTGAGAACTGCCAACTCATTATCGAATCTCCCATAATGTATCTTTAAACCAGTTCTCTTTCATTGCCCTACTGAGAAGTGGTTGGGTGGGGGTGTGCTGCTTGGATATACATAAGCTCGGACAATCGCCACACCCACATGAATTAGCTCATTCATTCCTGTGTAATTGTTTACACTGTTAAAAAAATGTTTTTTGTAAAGAATAAATCTGTGCTATATGATCTATTTTGTCTATTACCAGTTATTCAAGTCAAGAAGAAGTGTGTAATGAAGTATATTCTACAGTTGGTTTAATGAGATCAAAACTAAGTCCAGATAACTCTAAACTCATCATATCAACATCCAGAGGTTACATGATAATTATACATGACCTTGACCTGGCAACCTTAGCAACAGATTTGCAAGGTTTCAAACCTCATATGTACAGATTAGCACAAAGAGATGAGACCAGTAACTCTGAACTTGTCGTCAAGTACAATTCAGTTTTCCATAGAAAAAGGAACCGAGTGGAATATATTTCTGACTTTCAGAAAGGTTTTGAGGCTGAAGTTGTAGCAAGTCTGCAGGTAATGAGATGAAATCTTTTAAGAGTTCGAAAGGGGGGTTGGGTGGCCGAATGGTTTATGCGTGTGTGTTTGATCACAAGGTCTGTCATTGAGTCAAGCGGCCTGACAAGGAGTAGGGTCGCCTGTCCAACCTTGTGGGTTTTCTCCAGGTCCTCCGGTTTCCTCCCATTGCTAAAGACGTCTATGCGCGAGCGAATTATTGAAATAAAATTGAACCATATGTTAGTCTCGAAATGGCCTAACTCCATTTCTATCTATCTCTCTGTTTCATTAATTGATCCAGGATTATTCAGTATCCTCAAAGCAGGTCTGGGTCTTTGATAGATACATGTAATAAGCCAAACTTCTCCATTGTGACTATAAGCCAAACTCTCTCTCTCTCTCTCTCTCTCTCTCTCTCAAAGCTGGTCTGTGTCTTTGATGGATATATGTAATGAGCCAAACTTCTCCATTGTGATTATTTTCTAGGTTCATCCACATGGATGGTGTATCGTGTCGAGAAATACTAGCGTTAATGATGATTCGGAAGTAAGTATTTTGGTTTACAATTATGTAACTAAATTACAGTATGTAGGATATGAAACCAAGCATTGATATGCCTATTTAAAGACAAACATGTAAGAAAACGTTTTTAGTCTAAATAATAACATTATTGAAAGCCTATTTATTTGGTTATGTAACAAAATTTCTTTTTAAGATTAATATTGTAATGACCAATTTTAGCCTTGGAGCTCAACATGATTGTATGTTTGAAATACTTCAAAACCATACATTTGCTCACTATTATTATTATTTTTTTTTTGCCCATTTTCATTAGCCCAGTCGGAGCAGAACAGTAGGAAGTTATGCTTCATTTCATTTCATTTATTTATTTTTTTTGCAGAATTTATCTGGATTATCACCCTTTTTGTTAAAATCATTTAATGTCTAACTCATGACATCAACTGGCAGACTCAAAATTCAAGAGATGACCATCGTTTTCTTGTGAATCATTTTTTGTTCATTTTAAGTGAAGCCTGTATCATTTCAGGCCTGGGACTGTACAGCGCAGTGGACGCTTACCGCTTGCCCCCCCCCCCCTGATCCATTCACTTGATTTGATACTTATTGTTTATTTCTTGCCATGTCTATATTCTGTCTTGGTCTGGTGGGGTTGGATGGCCAAATGGTTAGCACGTGCGCACTGTATCATAAAGTCTGTCATTGAGTCAACTGGCGTGGTTTCGATTCCCCGGTTGTATGTGAAAAGGAGTAGGGTCGCCTGTCCAACTTTGTGGGTTTTCTCCGGGTCCTCCGGTTTCCTCCTACTGCTAAAGACCCCTATGCGCAAGCGAATTATGGAAATAAAATTGAACCATATGTTAGTCCCGAAATGACCTAGTATGTGTCAAGTGGCTGTTAAACCCTCTCTCTCTCTCTCTCTCTCTCTCTCTCTCTCTTGTCCGCAGGTTTATCTTGTAGATTTTATTTTGTGTGCATATAGATCCTCCTGTAGTTACTATTAGACGTATTGTCAATTAAAGAGACATTATTCAAGAGCTAAATCTGCCTATTGCATTTCTTTCTTTAGGTCTTAAATGTTATATACATAACTTACCAACACCATAATCAACTCTTGATGCCATACTACAGTCTAGATTTTCAAAAGATTTAAATCCGGTTTGTGGTTCAATTGCAGTTGAAAAATGGATAATCAAACTTTGTTTATTCTCGTATCAATGGTAGCAATGATAATCAAGGCTACAGTGTTATTGAAATGACTTTTGCTGGGCTCAGAGTGAAGTAATGTTACTCAAATTTTCAACATATTCCCTTTACATTATCTTTTTTTAAAACTATTATAGCGAGAACTACCAAATCTTTATCTAATCTTTCATAATGCTGCTTTAATTCACATATTTTTATTATTATTTTAGTGGACATGTGTACATGATATACAGTCAAGTGAATTTGATACCTGTGATTATGAAGTGGACTATGAAACAGCAGCACCTAGCACTTCCACAAATAATACTGTTGAGAAAAATCGACCTCATAATTCTACAATTAATAATACTTGTGAGAGAACGCGACCTCATATTCCTACTAGAGTCAGATTGGATTTACTACAACCCCTTGTTGGCAGCTTACTACCAAATTTTATCCAAGTTCCTGTAGCGGATACTTCCGAATCCAGTGAAACAAACTCAGCAAATGAAATCCCTGAAAGAGGAAACACTGATGATGACGACGATGATGATGATGATGATGATGATGATGATGGCTATCATCAAAATTTACAGGAAGCTTTGTTAAATTTTCGTGAACGTTCTGGCCTTGTTAATAATGAAGTTGTAGAGTCAATGGATGATACAGACAGTTCTGATTCAATGCTTTCCGAGCCAAGATCAGGTAACTCTGCATCAAGTCAGTGGCGTTTAAAGAACTTGTTTAAACACAAAGTTCCAAAGCTACATGGAAACAAAGCAAGACTTATGTTTTATAAACTAGAACCTAATGTTGGGGAGGGGTTTATTAAAGAGTTGTGTTTCAGTCACGATGGACGATTAATATGTTCGCCATATAAAGATGGCGTGCGACTTTTGGCCTTTAATGAGAAGTGTGACGAAGTTTGTGACTGTGTACCGAGTGAACCTACTAACTTGCACGTTGTCCAATCTAGTCAATGTCACACAAGTTACGTCCTTGCCACCAAATTTTCTCCCATTCACTGTATGTATGTTTCCGGTTGTCTGAGTGGAAAAGTTTTCTTCCATCAGCCTGTTCTTTAATCTCAATAAATTATTTACAACCTCTGGGATTTTCTTTGCTATAAAGGTTGTCCCCATTAAAATTTCTCCAGCAAGTTTTGAGTTATTAATAATACCTACAGTTATTGCTCAAAGTCATTGCTTAAATGAGCACGTTTTGAGGATTTGGTGCTATATACATGTAAATGAACCTATTATTTTTATTATTGTTATTAAATCACAGATTTATGGATCTCAACCATGTAAATGGTCAACAGACCACAACTTAAAATTTCTCCTACACACCGGTAGCCAAGCAGGGGGGTTGGATGGCCGAATGGTTAGCACGTGTGCGCTGTATCATAAGGCCTGTCATTGAGTCAACTGGCGTGGCTTGGAATCCCAGGTTGTACGTGACAAAGAGTGGGGTTGCCTGTCCAACCTCGTGGGTTTTCTCCGGGTCCTCTGGTTTCCTCTGGTTTCCTCCCACTGCTAAAGACCCCTACGCACAAGCAAATTTTTTAAATAAAAATAAAAACCACATGTTAGTCCCAAAATGACCTAGTCTGTGTTGAGTGGAGTTAAACCCCATTTCTCTCTGTCTCTCTCTGGGTAGCCAAGCTAATTGGTATATGACTGGAAAGGTTCTCAATGCTGCTGATAGAGAATTTGTTAGCTAATAATTTTTCATGTCCATTCAAATGTAAACTCTACAGATTGATGAGAAGTCATATCAAATGTTCTAGAAGGAGTAAGCACCCTTAGCAACGCCGCACATGACACCATTTCTATCCAAATAGAGCCATTAAAAAATAAGTTTATTGCTGTAATATAGATAAAAAAACCAACAGTTATAAAATGGTACAAACATATCACAATAATTCTTAGTTATTGACAATTATCAGTTATATACAATTCTAAGATAAGATAAAATTGATAAGTTTTATAATCGTGTAATACAGCGTTAATAATAAATAAAAAAAAAAAACATGTAAAAAAACTATTTTTGTAAAGTTACAAAAAATTGACAAGTGAAAGTTTAATATACATTTTGAACAACGTGTGTTTACTTTATTCAGTTTAAATAAGTAAGGATAAATACAGAAGAATATATTTACAAACAGACGATATATATAATAATTTACATACGATACCTTATAAGTCTACCTTATACGTCTACGCAGCACAGGTGCCGTGAGAGGGGGTGGGGGTCTAGAGGTATGCCGAGTAGTGTTTTATTTTATGTAAAATAGAAAAAAAAATTGGTAAATTAAAAACTATAAGCCACCTGCCCGGGCCTTCTCGTCGTGGGGTTCGGATTGAGGCTCTCGTCACCATCGGGCCCCTCTTCCGTTTTATCCAGTTCAACATGATTTTGGGTATTGAAGAAATAATAGTTTATGTGATGAAAAATGTTTTGATTTTTTGGCGTCTGATGGTCGCAGTTTTGATTTTTCCATTTGTTTAAAGCACCTAAGTCTCTAACTCATATCATCCAAAATCTTCCACATTGAAAACACGATTTATTTGCCGGTTTAAATCAACATTGATGTTGTGATCTTACCGGGAAAAGATGGCCTTCTGATATCCAATATTTAAGACAAAATAAACATTTAACAATTGGTACACGAATCGTGTACCATAATGCGTTTCAGCGCTATTTGTAATAAGGAACTCGAAAAACGAGGCTAGGCATATTCCACAAGTCATGTCAAACGGTGACGCTATATTCTTATCTGGAGAGCACGCCTAATAAATACTATCGGCGTAGACTGGAATAACCAGACGCTAGAGATTGAAATTCGGTTGAGAATACTGGCGTATTTCGCTGAACCTAACTGATTAGAAATTAGAGTAAAAACAGAAACGATTGAATGTAAATCAATTTATATACATTACATTATTGTATGCGTTGCGACCCATTTGTGTCAATTTCTAGGTCCCAAATATTTAATACCCATTTAGACTAAAATAGGAAATAATTTTTACCTGTTTGTGGCTCATTAAGTCGCATCGATATCATCCTTATCAGTGATTGTCGCGGCCTAGCGAATATTCACTGCTGATCAGTGTGGACGTAGCCACGTCTCGACAGTAGCTTATCCGAAAGGAACACTGGGATGTTGATTTGCAATATATCTGACCTCTCACACTGATCAGCAGTGAATATTCGCTAGGCCGCGACAGATTGCTGACCTCTATCGCGTGCACAAGCTTGAAAAAATCCGTAAAAAACTATAGTCTCGAATACGTTCAACGGGTTTTTGAAAAGTGCATAACGTTGGTACGGAATATCGACCTGGTTTGTCCCACCAAATTTGAAAAGAATCCGTCAACAACTGTAGCCTCTAACGCGTTCACAAGCCAATGTTTGACAGACAGACAGACGACTTGTTCCCCCCCCCCACCCCACCCCACCGGAAAAAAAACCCTGTCGACCATAGTTCTAAAATACCTACTGTTTGTAATAGACAGCAATCAGTGATCATCATGTGGAGTATTGATTTAGGGACGTGGCACCTTGCACACAGTCTCATATTATTGGTTATGTTCTGACATCTATCTGCCATATAGTTTGTACCGACTTGCCCACTGTCGTGGAGACCCTGTCTTGTCACTATGTTCAGAGTTCGCTAAAGAACTCGAAAACGCGTTTGCGGCCGTTCAATTTTAAAAGTTTTCCGGGAAGGACCAGTGTCGTATCACTATATTTCAGGTCGAAATATTTAAATATTTCTTTGGGGGTGGGTGGCGGTCATGAAGTCGCCGTACCCTGAGGCAGCTAGCCGTCGGGCCCCAGTGGCAAAATGACGCACTAGAGGAGGAGGGGGGGCGAACCCACTAAACCCCTAGAGGAGAGCCCCATCACTCTCCCCCAGGGTGTCATTTTGTCACTGGGCCCCGACAACTTGCTGCCTCAGGGCACGGCGACCTCATGATCCGTCACTGGGGAAGATCCCGATACCCCTCTTCACCCGGGAAAAAACCCCATTATATTTAACAAAGCTGTTGAGCTCCATTATCGGTTGAACGATAGCATTAGTCAGTCGAAGTTTACCCTTAGCAAAAAGTCTTGAATACCAGTCTAGTTTTCTATAGAACATCCAAATCCTACAGGTTTTCCTAAGGATTTATGGTAAAATTTCTATCGGGAAATACTATAGTAGACCTATTCTGTAGTGTTTTCTGTAGAAAATTCTACAGTTATCTTTTTTTGCCTTTAATCATGTTTCGTGAACAGACTGCACAGTTGTCCCACATCCTTCAGTTCCTTGTTTAATACTAACAACTATGAAGTTGTTATACATGTGCATTGAATTTAACAATTTAAAATCCAGCAAATGATCAAACAGTCTTCCCTCGGATTAACTTTAATCAGCCCGTTAGCAACAGATATTAAACGGATAGTTAACAAACCCGATAGAGTGTAACGGATCGTTAAAATAACTGGGTTTTGAATAACTAACCCCTGGTATACACAATGTAATAGCAGATGGTTTAAGCCGCGTGTTTGTCAAAAGCGAACCTGATACAAATGATAACACATTTCAAAGCAATGTTCTAAATCCTAACAAATTTCAACCGAAAGACGATGCAACATGTGAATAATTAGAGTATCAGCTATAGATTAAATATAAATAATTAGAGTATCAGCTATAGATTAAATAGAGTATCAGCTATAGATTAAATATAAATAATTAGAGTATCAACTATAGATTAAATTTGAATAATTGGTGCATCAACTATAGATTAAATATACAGATTAAATATGAATAATTAGATCATCAACCATAGATTAAATATGAATATTTGGAGCATCAACTATAGATTAAATATGAATATGTAGAGCATCAACTATAGATTAAATGGAGGAACAAACCGACATAACATTCTTCTCTACATGTCTCTATGTAAGCATGAGCACCAAAAGAACAGCTGTTGATAAACATGTTACTACTAGATACAACCAGAAGAAAAAAGCATCCAACAACCTGGCGACATCTTTCCAAGTCACAATATGAACGGAATCTTGAGTATTTTCAACGTTTTCGGTGCTGACTGGAGTTACCACTGTGTTATGGACGTTAACCATTTTCGAAGAACAGCGACGGCGACACAGAAAAAAATTGGTTACATTGCCAATTCCTTTGGAAACAGGGATTGAATCATCTTTGTGATGAAGTCGCAACACTAATGTTGTGATGATTACAGATATAGCACTAAGTGCCACAAGAATTGTCAGGTAAACCGCAAGCAATGAAATGTGAATCGATGTTTGAGGCATGTTCTCACTAATGATGGTCAGATAAACGACGTAAGCCAAAAGAATGGTGATAGTTAAGGACATCTTCTCACCAGATTCTGCCGGCAACGCAAATACTAAGTTTCCCATGAATGACAAAAAAATAACCGGCAAAATGATGTTCATGATGTAGAACGACCTACGACGTTTTAAAGTCAGTTCAAATTTCAATATAGATTTGAACTGATCTTTCGTTTCTTTCATAGAAAGATTTACAAGCTCCCATTGTCCATTTGGCCCATACTCGTCTAATGCGTTTTGACCAGCTTCAAGGCGCAGCTTTATTTCATCGAAACTTGATACTAGGGGATTCAACTCAATTGTGCAAACTTGAGTGTCGAACGGATAATATTTAATGTTTATATCACATGCTGTTTGGAATAGAATATTTGGGAACCAATAAACATCGCCGGTTCTGGTGAGTCGAATTGGCATGCCATCAAATCCTAACTCCTTGGTCTTCTCCACCATATTTCCAATTACCACATCAGGTCTCCAGATTTTGAACTGTGGTACAACCATGTCTTCCAATCCATTAAATCTACCTGAATCCCATGCCAGGAAAGTGTCCGTCCATTTAAGACCCATGTAACCAAATGCCACCAGTGTTTGATCTTTTTCCTTAACCTCGCTGATAGAAACCAAGGAGAAGACTACCGATACCTCTAAAGCATCTGTATCGCTTTCAACGGGTCGGAGATGTGGATTGTATACACTGTCACGAAATATTTCAGTATATAATTTATAACGATCGTCTTTAGTGGCGGAATCGACGCTTGATATCACCGTACCAACTATCCAATAAATGACCTGAAAATCGTGTATCTTCATGTTGTTTCCTTTTAAAAAAAGATCAAAGGCATATATTGTTGGACGCCAGCCTCCAAAGACTGGCCGTCACCAGCTAGATCCGTGCCTTTCTTTAGACTGGTATAAACGTCCCTAATTCTTAAAAAAAGTTATTGCCCTCTGAAATTTAATACTGTTTATATTGGATATATAAAACCAGCTTTACAGTTTCACGATTACGGCATCAGTCCTTCGTTGTCTCCGGAATCAATTTAAAAGCCACCTTCCTTCAGCACCACCGAATATCGAGTGGGTTGGAATTTTGTGCGCTTTATATATGGTTTAATTCAAAAAGAAAAGTGTTTTGAGTCTCACTCAAGTGAATCGACTATGAATTATGCAAACAGAAAAGATCTCCATCTATTCAACTGAGAATTAAAGAAATACATGTCTATAAGTCAATAAACGATAGTTTATATAAAATATCCATTCATACACACACAGTTTGTGACGTTCACTGGGAGTAGCTCATTATTGTACAGTAAAGAAAACAGGATTTTTATTTCAGTTCATTGCATCTCGCGCGTGTGGTGTGACATGCATGATATAGTAATTGACGCTGTGGTATTAAAGTAGCTAAGTCTCTAATATCATCAAAAACCTTCGACAATGAAAACACGAATTATTTGTCAATTTTAATCAACATTGGTGTTGTGATCTTACCGGGAAAAGATGGGCTTCTGATATCCAATATTTAAAACAAAATAAACATTTTACGATTGGTACACGAATCGTGTACCATAATGCGTTTCAGCGCAATTTGTAACAAGCGACTTAGAAGAACGAGGTTAGACATATTCCACAAGTCATGTCAAACGGTGACCCTGGAGATCATGCCCAATAAATACTATCGGTGTAGACTGGAATAACCAGACGCTAGAGATTGACATTCGATTGAGACTTCTGGCGTATTTCGCCGAACATAACTGCTTTGTAAATTAGAGTAAAAACGGAAATGATGGAATGTAAATCAATTTTTTTTACATTCATATTACATTATTATATACCTTGCGACCCATTTGTGTCAATTTGTAGGCCCCAAATATTAACGTTTTAGCTCCTTTAAATAGACATTTGAACTAGTCTAATTCTCGAGAAACGATGCTTGTTCATCCAGCCGATCTAATGTGTTTTAATTAATGACTGTAAATATTTGTCTGAGTGCTAATAGGTACTATTTAATGATATGTACTTCTTGATTGAAATAAATACAATCAAAGATGTATTTTCATTTGATTGTAATTCATCTCTTTTTGAGATACAGTTATCATTCGGTAAGTGTAACATTTTGTTTAGTTATTAACATGATCAAAGGATGAACCAAATCATCTTTCGAAGATTTCTAACGATAACCCTCAGAGTTACGCTCCTTGTTTGAAAAACCCCTTGAACACTGCAGGGGCCACACCTATCATTAGATCTATGTGGAATTTCATGATTTACGACTTTGGATTACGAACGTTGCGAATGTCCCAGAGGTTAACATTACCGTTGGAAAATTGAAACAGGTTGTTCAACTTGGTTAATGGACGTATCCTATCTTTTTCCGGTTTCTGAAAATAAGTTATGCCGCATAATAGCGACGTTCTGTAAATAATGATATGGCCACAATTATTACTGAATCATTACGGAATGTTAAGAATGTATTCTAGGAAGGCCCTAGTCACAAAACCTTTTATACGCTATCCTTGGATGATTCTTAAGCAATTTATGTTTTGTTATGTGAAGGAAGAACCCAATTGATTTTTGACAGCGATTTCCAGAGTTACATGTATACCTCGTGCTTCAGTTGTTTCCTTAACATTTTTGACAATGATTTATATTAGCGGTACGACAATTTAAAGTTGAAGGGTGATGTTTGTTTTGTTACCTGGCAACGTTAGAATTTTAATGTTTTGTTATGCGTATGTTAAGGAAGAAACGTATTGATTTTTGACAGTAATTCCCAAAGTTATACCCCTTGCTGATCCCCGTTCTAAGCTGAAATTTCTTTATCTAGTAATTTTCAGTTGTTTTATATTACCGGCACGCCAATTTAAAGTTGCTGGGTGGCGTATGTTTTGTTGCCGGACAACCGCATTGTTATCTTAAATAGTTGAACCAACTAATGGTATAAGATGATTAAAATGATGAAATATACAGTAATCAGTATTATATGAAATTGGTTTCATTTCGCAATGAAGGCTATATTGTTTTCCAGCGCACACTCTACCATTGGTTACCAGGTACGAAAAAGTAACTCGACCGTCATCAAAAGACTTTTTTTCTTCCTTTTCTTTTGTAAGGATACTAATACCGGCATTGTTTCTTTTCAGATCCAATGATTTCTTTACAAACAAGCCGATGCCGAAGGGAATTATAAAGTATTCATAAGCCATTCTTTATCATTATTATTCTTCGATTTATATAGCGCATCATTACACATGAGTGTTTTTAAAGCACATTCACAACAAAAAATAAGTTTGTCTTAAAACTCTGGATGGAAGAGGACTCTCGAAGCGTTTTTGGAAGATCACTCCTCATTTTAGCTGCTTTGACGGAGAAAGCATAGTCACCAGGACGCTTATTATGTTTAGGAATCCCCAATATGCTACAATCATTTGAAGAACATTTGGGTTGGATCGCCGGGGTGTATATAAATCAAAGAGTTCTTTTAAATAACAGGGTGCAGTGTCAGAATAAATTGATTCAAACACATTCACAAGAGCTTTAAACTGAACCCGCACTTGAATTGGAAATCAATGGAGTTTCTGTTACTTAGCTGATGTATGATATATTCAGACGCTTGCTTTTTTTGTAATCGGTTAACATTTTTGCGACATGATACAATTATGCCCACCCTGTACTTGATGTCAATAGCCTTGTAATTAATACATGTAGTACATGTAGTTATTTACGCAAAAGCACAGGATATGCTGACTTCAGTTTTTGCCGGATAATTTTTAAATTTGGTCTTAACCGTTGTGGTCAGTAGGAGACGAACCGTATAGATATGGACACAGTATATCATTCATATCCACATTGATTTTGATACAAATTCTTCGATTTTCCATTCCGAAGTTACCCTCATCCCACCACCACGTCACCCCTCTTTTTAAATTTAGTAGGAAAGCATTGGAGTTTTAAGAAGACGAATCCTCTCAGCGTGGAGTGCTCTGCGACCTCCCGTTCTTAATCACTTTGTAAAATATTTGCAATAATGCCAATAAATATGTTTTAAATAACGACTTTCACTTCATTGTACGGAATTAACGGTGTGAAGCATGCGCTTAGTAGGACAAAGGCTTCAAAATTGCCATGACTATTGATTTACATACAAACTTTGAGGTTCTATAAATGGTCCATTAAATATATATTATATAGTACTAGAACACTTAGTATAGATACAGTCATTTGATTTATTATACTGCAACGTCTCAACAAGTTTTCACTAATGGTTTTCAAGCAAATACCTAACGTAGCCTACAAATGAGACATATCATTGCTGAGATATATAATCTAAAAATAGAGAAAAATGGGGTTTAACTTCCACTCGACACAAACTGGGTCATTTTAGGACTAATGTAATATGGTTCAATTTTATTTCAATAATTCGCTTGCGCGTAGGGGTCTTTAGCAGTGGGAGGAAACCAGAGTACCTGAAGAAAACCCACAAGGTTGGACAACCGACCCTTCTCCTTGTCACGTACAGCCGCGGAATCGAAATCACGTTAGTTGACTCAACGACAGACCTTATGATGCAGCACGCATACGCTAACCATTCGGTCACACACCCCCCCCCCCCCCAAATATAAAAATAATCTGTTTACATTGATGTTAAAGAATATGCTGCTGCGTACATTATTCAATAGCCCGTGCTTTTTCATACCCGTGGGTAAAGTTAATACAATAAGCACCTATTTGGACTTAAATTAAAGGAAGTACAGTCTGCGAAAATAATATATGAGTCGCCTGGTAACATTAATATGGTCAAAACTGATACAGTTATATGGGACAACAATCACTGGTTTATTATACACAAGCACGACGTTTCGATAAGTATTCTCTTATCGTTATCAAGCACAATGATATCATTGTTGTCCCATATAACTGTGTCAGTTTTGTTATGTTTTCAATTGCTAAATGCCACTAAAGGATTATATTAATATGGCCATGTACTCAGATCGATTAGAAGGGATAGCATATTGTTTACTGTTTTCGTTTACCTTTTTGAAAATTAATATTTTAAAATCGAGTTCTTTTCTGACAAGCGCACAGTAATTGAGCGTTAAGCGTGCTAATATTGATATGCGGGCTATGACGTTAGAATTGTGACCAATCAGAACGCAATCAAACATTATCTCAATAAAGAAACATTTACCATATACTGTCTTTTAAATATATAATTATGCAAGGTGTGGTTATGTGTAAAGCAAATTCCAAAATTATCAATATGGACAAACCGTTAAGAAATATGATCCTTGCCCCGTGAATCCAGCGCCATACGCATAACATTTTCCACCCGCCGAGCACGGGTGTACGGCCGGCGAGCATAAAGCATCATCTACAAATTAAATATGAATAATTGGGGTATCAACTACAGTATAGGAATAATTAGATCATCAACTATACAGATCAAATATGAGCATCAACTACAAATTAAATATGAATAATTGGGGTATGAACTACAGTATAGGAACCATTGGAGAATCACTTATAAATTAGATATGAATAATTGGAGCAACAACCGCAGCTTAAATATGAATAATTGGAGCATCCACAACAGATTTAATACAAATTAATGGAGCATCAACTATATATTAAATATAAATACAACTACAGATTATGTATGAATAATCAACTATAGATTAAGATATAAATACAACTATAGATTAAATATAAATACAACTATAGATTAAATATAAATACAACTATAGATTAAATATAAATTCAAGTATAGATTATGTATGAATAATCGGGGTATCAACTATAGAATAAGATATAAATACAACTATAGAATAAGATATAAATACAACTATAGAATAAGATATAAATACAACTATAGATTGAATATAAATAATTAGAGTCTCAACTATAGATTAAATATGAATAATTGGAGCATCAACTATAGATTAAATATAAATACAACTACAGATTATGTATGAATAATCGGGTTATCAACTATATATTGAGATATAAATACAACTATAGATTAAATATAAATACAACTATAGATTAAATATAAATACAACTATAGATTAAATATAAATTCAAGTATAGATTATGTATGAATAATCGGGGTATCAACTATAGAATAAGATATAAATACAACTATAGAATAAGATATAAATACAACTATAGAATAAGATATAAATACAACTATAGATTGAATATAAATAATTAGAGTCTCAACTATAGATTAAATATGAATAATTGGAGCATCAACTATAGATTAAATATAAATACAACTACAGATTATGTATGAATAATCGGGTTATCAACTATATATTGAGATATAAATACAACTATAGATTAAATATAAATACAACTATAGATTAAATATAAATACAACTATAGATTAAATATAAATTCAAGTATAGATTATGTATGAATAATCGGGGTATCAACTATAGAATAAGATATAAATACAACTATAGAATAAGATATAAATACAACTATAGATTAAATATAAATAATTAGAGTCTCAACTATAGATTAAATATGAATAATTGGAGCATCAACTATAGATTAAATATAAATACAACTACAGATTATGTATGAATAATCGGGTTATCAACTATATATTGAGATATAAATACAACTATAGATTAAATATAAATACAACTATAGATTAAATATAAATACAACTACAGATTAAATATAAATTCAAGTATAGATTATGTATGAATAATCGGGGTATCAACTATAGAATAAGATATAAATACAACTATAGATTAAATATAAATAATTAGATTAAACTATAGATTAAATATGAATAATTGGAGCATCAACTATAGATCAAATATGAATAATTGGAAAATTAACTGTACATTAAATATGAAAAATTGGAATATTAACAGCACATTAAATATGAATAACAGCAAACACCTGCCATTATTCCCACGCCTCTATGTAAGCACAGACAGTAAAAGGACAACTGTTGATAAAGCTGTTATCAATAGATATAGCCAGAAGAAAAAAACATCCAACGACCTGGCTACATCTTCCCAAGTCACATTATCATCGGAATCTTGAATACCATCAATGCTTTCTGTGCTGGATAGGGTTACAACCGTATTTTGGGTGTTTACGATTTTCGAAGAACGACGACGGCGACCCCGCAAAAAAATTGTTACTTTTCCAATTCCTCTGGAAACAGGGATTGAATCATCTTTGTGGTGAAGTCGCAATATCAATGTTGTGATGATTACAGATATAGCGCTAAGTGCCACAAGACTCGTCAGATAAACCGCAAGTAATGAAATGTGAATCGATGTTTGAGGCATGTTCTCACTAATGATGGTCAGATAAACGATGTAAGCCAAAAGAATGGTGATTGTTAAGGACATCTTCTCACCAGATTCTGCCGGCAAAGCAAATACTAAGATTCCCATGAATGACAAAAAAATAATTGGCAAAACGACGTTCATGATGTAGAACGACCTACGACGTTTTAAAGTCAGTTCAAATTTCAATATAGATTTGTACTGATCGTTCGTTTCATTCAAAAAAAGATGTACAAGCTCCCATTGTCCATTTTGCCCATACTCTTCAAAAGGGTCGTGGTCACTTGCAAGGACTAGCTCTATTTCGTTAGTCTGTGATACCAGTGGATTCAACTGAATTGTGCACACTTGAGTGTCGAAAGGATAATATCGCAGGTTTATATCACATGCTGTTTGGAACAGGATATTTGGGAACCAAAACACGTGACCGGTGTTGGTGAGTCGAATCGGCATCTCGTCAAATCCTAGCATGGTGGTCTTCTCCACCATATTTCCAATTACAACATCGGGTCTCCATACCTGCACTTGTGGCACAACCATGTATTCCAATCCATTATATCTAGTTGAATTCCAAGCCAAGAAAGTGTCCGTCCATCTAAGACCTATGTAACCAAACCCCACCAGTGTTTGATCTTTTTCCCGAACCTCGCTGATGGAAATCAGGGAGAAGGTTACCCATACCTCTAAAGGATCTGCATCGCTTTCAACTGGTCGGAGATTGGGATTATAAAATCTGTCAACAAATAGTTCAGTATATAAGTTATAACGATCCTCTTTAGTGGTGGAATCGACGCTTGAGATCAACATACCAACTATCCAATAAATTACTTGGAACTCCAGTATATCCATGTCAAGGATGTGTATTGCTGCACGTCCACCTTCAAAAAACTATCTGGCACCACACCTCAGATGCGATTAGATGTACGTCTTTCTTTAGACTCTCAAAAATCAACTTACGCTGGCGTAGATGGTACTTAGGTCTTGACAAAAATATTGGTCTCTGGTCGCTATAATTCTATTAAAGCTATTATCGACTGTGATTTAATAGTGATAGTCTTGGATGTAGAAAAAATGCTATACGATTTCACTGTTAGACACCAATTCTTGGCCGTCGCCTGCTTCCAGTGCCATGGAATATCTGGTGGCAATGATTTGTGTGCGCCTATACATATTTCATTATTTTGAGTTCACTGAAGTATGAAGAAAATTGGCCATGTATTACGAAAATAATACAGCCGAAGATGAAGAAGTCTATATAAAATATTAATTCACACACAGGTTGTAATGTTACCTTGAGATAGCTCATTGGTATCCATTTAGTTTAGTTCTTTAAATCTTGCGAGTTGATGTGGCATTATGGATAATATACTCTTCAAAAAAAAGTAGGGGATAGTTAGAAACAATACAAAACTGCGGAAATGCACTGCTGTTTTTATTAGAGCTAACCAGTGTATGTTAATAACAGGCCAATGGCCTACACATGAACATAAACAGTTCATATAGGCGGCTTATCTGACGGTCCCATTTCACTCGCAAAGAGAAACACTGTCAAAAGTGAAAATGACTCACTTCTATTGCAGTGCCACGGCCAATTCTTGCAGTGTTGTCGTTTGACGTTGACGTCGACAAACACTTCTCCCGATCATGTCCCAGACATGCTCTATAGGGGAAAGGTCGGGACTCATGGCTGGCCAAGGCATATGAACAATACTATGGCAAGCCAAAGCGGAATTAATTTCAAGACCGTTTTTCTGTATGGAAAGCGAAAAAATCTAGTATATAACAATTTTTCATCACCTTCCAAGCATTTTTTTTCTGTACAAAACGACGTATATCAATAAAGATTATTTTTTCCACTGCTGCTCTTGTATTTTGTTATAATCAAGTCAATAATACAACTGTACTGTTCACAGAAATATTTTATCACTATATTCGGTTTTTATAAACAATTCAACAAAATTATTTTTCACATGTCAAGACAAAAAAATACACATGTCAAGGCGAAAAAATTCACATGTCAACACTAAAATATTCACACGTCAAGACGGAAAAATTCACATGTCAAGACGAAAAAATCATATATCACGAGCAATCATATATACCAATCACATGATTAATTACATCATAATTAGCCATAAAGACTGTGAATCTGAGAATATACAATTAATAGAATGTGCGTAGTTCTTGTAGGGAGAAGATGTAGGAATTTCCATCAGCAGACTCACGGAGTCTGCATGGGTGCGGGTTAGAGAGAATGACTTTATTATAATGCCCGTAACTATGTAACCTATGTAGCAGTGTTTAATATAAAAGGTAGAACCGAATGTTGTATTTGTTGTTTCTGTTGATGATACTATTTAAGATGCAGTATATTCAATCACAATGTCAAGTCGTCATTAATGGGGAATGTCAGAATAACATTTAAAGATACGAGCTAACTAGTTATGTGCGACCAGAGACACTACTTGATGATTAAGTGCTGTTCCAAAATATGTGGTAAGAAACGATGCATGGGTTATTCGCCGGATGTGGCGACCGGTTTTAGCCATCTTCCGCTCTCCACGTCTGACAGACGACCCATGGTTCTACGGATGGTAAAAGGTTATTCCCCTCGATTGCTACACCCGGTTGTTATGTTTACGTGGTTGTTGTTGGTTGGGCTTATGAAATTGAAGGCTATCTTTGGGCCCACAAATCACCACTGATACAGGAGTGGGAGAGACAAATGCTGAAAGCGTGTTTTTCATAATTTCTCGTCTCGTGTTGAAAGAATGTATATGGGTCCCTTAAGGCGATATTGTTCAGTCCGACTTAGTAGTACTGATTTAAGATTGTCCAAAGAAAAAAATTCCCGACTGTTGCCTTCATCTCTTCAAAATGGGACGCTGCGTGTGGTACCGATGAAAATACCCCCCAAAACTGTTTCGCACCGCACTTATCAAATAGAAGTGACAGCTTTTGCAACTTCAGATACTGCATCTTAACTGTCTGGCGTGACATTTAAATTAACATTATAATTTATTGCCGACAAAATGATTGTTTTTATCCCGTGATTTACGAACTTCAAATATTTGCACTATTTAAAAATAAAAAACCCCAGCATATCATTAGACTTCTTCTTCTTCTTTTATTGTTTTTCGAAAATAGACTCGCCACTTTAAAAAAAAACAACAAATGATGGAGGTTCAGAAAAAAGAAGGTTCCCACCTAAATTGTTTATTTTATTCGCTTGAGGCAACATGGAGTGATGGGGTTGATTAAATTATCGCTATATTTACTTAAATGAATAAAGAAATAAAGTATTTCTAGATTATTTATTTGAATTTATAAATTATTTGGGGACAAGGTAACAGCTGTGAAACATAGAATATAGATAAATTCCAACGAGATAAGATGAGATACAAAATTAGTTTCTATAGCTATATATGAAACATAATATCTAAATCATGATCAAGATGAGATACGAAATGAGTTTCTATAGCCATGAACCGTTGCGGCGCCAGCCTCCGGTGTGTGGAGGCGCAAAGCCAAGGCAAAGTCCAGGGTTAAGGGGGCCAAATGCGCGAGATTCAACTAGGGGTAAGGCGGGGTTGGGGGGGGGGGCGAGAATTTATTGAACAACATGCTGCCGGAAAAGCTGTCTGGCAATATTCCAGGAACTGATCGTCGCGATAAATAGATCTGACCATATACCGCATGTCGCCTGACCACTAGTTTATCCAACCAAGGGCCTGTTTCACGGAATTTTAACTAAGATAAAATTCAAATTTTAGTAATTTGATTGGATAATATTAGAATGATTTTAGTGCTTAGCCAATCAAAATTGAAGTATCTACTAAAATTTGGATTTTATTTTTATCTTTTATCTTAGATTTCGAGAAACAGGGCCCTGGGTGGAAAGTGTCGACGAAGCCCCCTCACAATCGGATACAAAATGAGTTTCTACAGCTGTGAAATATAATAATATAATACATCATCTGAATCACAATCAAGATCGGATACAAACTGAGCTTATTGCCATGAAATATAATAATATATCATCTAAATCACAATCAAGATCGCATACAAAATGAGTTTCTATAACTATGAATCATCATATAATATATACTCTTCAAAAAAAGAAACCCAATGTGACATTTGTCGTCGGTATACCCTCGCTTTACCATCGCCGTTAATTACATAATTAGAGAGAGAGAGAGAGAGAGAGAGAGAGAGAGAGAGAGAGAGAATGGGGTTTAACGTCCACTCGACACAAACTAGGTCATTTCAGGACTAACATATGGTTTAATTTTATTTCAATAATTCGCTTGCGCATAGGGGTCTTTAGCAGTGGGAGGAAACCGGAGGACCCGGAGAAAACCCACGAGGTTGGACAGGCGACCCTACTCCTTGTCACGTACAACCGGGGATTCGAAACCACGCCAGTCGACTCAATGACAGACTTTATGATACAGCGCGCGCACGCTAACCATTCAGCCATCCAACCCCCCTACATAATTAGAAATCATTTAATACCATGGTTAAAAACCTAAGTACACAGATTGTCACAGATTTTAAAGAATACTTCGGCTATGACATGGTGATTACAATGACTACAACAACTATAGATTAAATATGAACAATTAGAGCATCAACAATAGAATAAATATGAATATTTAGAGCATCAACAATAGAAAAATATGAATAATTGAAATATTAACTGCACATTAAATATGAATAACAGCAAACACCTGCCATGACATTATCTACCACGCCTCTATGTAAGCATAAGCAGTAAAAGTACAACTGTTGATAAACCTGTTATCAATAGATATAGCCAGAAGAAAATAACATCCAACGACCTGGCTACATCTTTCCAAGTCACATTATCATCGGAATCTTGACTACCGTCAATACTTTCTGTGCTGGATGGAGTTACAACCGCATTTTGGGTGTTTACGATTTTCGAAGAACGACGACGGCGACCCCGAAAAAAATTGGTTACTTTTCCAATTCCTCTGGAAACAGGGATTGAATCATCTGTGTGATGAAGTCGTAACACTAATGTTGTAATGATTACAGATATAGCACTAAGCGCCACAAGAATTGTCAGGTAAACCGCAAGCAATGAAATGTGAATCGATGTTTGAGGCATGTTCTCACTAATGATGGTCAGATAAACAATGTAAGCCAAAAGAATGGTGATAGTTAAGGACATCTTCTCACCAGATTCTGCCGGCAAAGCAAATACTAAGATTCCCATGAAAGACAAAAAAATAATTGGCAAAACGACGTTCATGATGTAGAACGACCTACGACGTTTTAAAGTCAGTCCAAATTTTAATATAGATTTGTACTGATCGTTCGTCTCCTCCAAAAAAAGTTTTATAAGCTCCCATTGTCCATTTGGCCCATACTCGGCCAAAGGATTGTGGCCAAACGCAAGGCGCAGTTCTATTTCGCCAATCACTGATACCAGCGGATTTAATTGAATTGTGCAAACTTGAGTGTCGAAAGGATAATATCGCAGGTTTATATCACATGCTGTTTGGAATAGGATATTTGGGAACCACATAATATGACCGGTGTTGATGAGTCGAATCGGCATCTCATCAAATCCTAGCATGGTGGTCTTCTCCACCATATTTCCAATAACAACATCGGGTCTCCATACCTGCACTTGTGGCACAACCATGTCTTCCAATCCATTATATCTAGTTGAATTCCAACCCAAGAAAGTGTCCGCCCATTTAAGACCTATGTAACCAAATCCCACCAGTGTTTGATCTTTTTCCCGTACCTCGCTGATGGAAATCAGGGAGAAGGTTACCCATACCTCTAAAGGATCTGCATCGCTTTCAACAGGCCGGAGATTGGGATTATAAAAACTGTCAACAAATAGTTCAGTATATAAGTTATAACGATCTTCTTTAGTGATGGAATCGACTCTTGAGATCAACATACCAACTATCCAATAAATTACTTGGAACTCCAGTATATCCATCTTAAGGATGTGTATTGCTGCACGTCCACCTCCATAAACTATCTGGCACCACACCACAGATGAGATTAGATGTACGTCCTCTTTAGACTCTCAAAAATCCACTTACGCAGGCGTAGGTGGTACTCAATTCTTGACAAAAAATATTTGTCTCTGGTCGCTATAATTCTATTAAAGTTATTATCGACTGTGATTTAACAGTGACAGTCTTGGATGTAGAAAAAACAGCGATACGATTTCACTGTTAGACACCAGTTCTTCGTCGTCACCTGCTTTCAGTGCCATGGAATATCTGGTGGCAAGGACTTGTGTGGGCTTTATATATATTTCATTATTTTGATTCTCACTGAAGTATGAAGTAAATTGACCATGTATTACAAAAATAATAATGGCGAAGATAACGTGGTATATATAAAATATTTATTCACACACAATGTTCCCTTGAGATAGTTCATTGGTATATATTTTGTTTAGTTCTTTAAATCTTGCGCGTTTGACATTATGGATAACATATTTACGACACCCAGTGGAATTTGTTCTCTTTGTATTATTTCACACACTATAGATATCTAAACTGGTTTAGTTCTTTTTCTTGATCTATATAGTATGTGCTGCCTATGTGCCAGTAGGTATTGAGTGTTATGTATTGCTTGGTTGGCTTAAATGGATGTATTTGTTTATTCCATTTACAAGTGAGGCTATATTTATTATTAGGTCAGAGTGAATTAAATTGGTTAAGGATGACCAGAAGCTTTCTGACGATAACTCCAGGAGTTATGCCCCTTGATTGCAAACCCCCCGTGAAAACCCCAGGGACCACAGTAACTCCCAGATTAATGATACTTGATTATGAAAGACTGCTAACTCCGCAGATGCTAACATTGTCATTGGTAAAAAGTTATTTACCTCGATTGCTACACATTGTTGTTATGTTTACGTGTTCAATTTTTCAATTGTTGGTTGGGCTTATGAAATTGAAGGCTATCTTCGGGTCCAGCTATGCGCCACAAATCCCCATGGACACAGAAGGGAAAGAGACAAATTCCGTAAAAGGGTTTTTATGATTTCTCGTCTCGTGTTCAAAGAATGTATATGGATCTCCTAAGGCGATATTGTTCAGCTCGACTTAGTAGTACTGACAAAGGATTGTCAAAAGAAGAAATTCCAGATTGTTGCCTTCATCCCTTCAAAACGTGACGTTGCGTGTGGTACCGATGAAAATACCCCCGCCCCCCTAAAAAAAAACCCAAAACAAAAAAAAACTATTTCGCATTGCACATATTAATTTTAGTAATGTCTATTATTCTTTGACCCCATCATCAAATAGAAATGAAATGAAATGAAATGGGGTTTAACGTCCTACTATTCTGCTCCTAAACTGGGCTAATGAAGACGGGCATACGCCATACAGTGTGCTATGAGGGAAATTTTGCCCAGGCAGCGGCGCTACTGCCTACTCTTATATCGAATTCAAACTGCCAAGGGATCTTTTACGTGCACGCCAATGTGTACACGGGACCTAGTTTTTTTGTGCCATCCGAACGGCTAGACAGCTGTCCTTGTCAGGCCCTCCTTCCTGCATCACTGACAAGGGGAAACCACACCGGAAAATCTGGATGAACTTTCTCGGCCAATGCAGGGACCGAACACCCGACCTCCAGACTATCATCAAATAGAAGTAGCAGCCCGCGATTTACGAACTTCAAATACTTGCATTATTTCAAACAATTTTAAAAAGAACAATGTTAAGTTACGCTTAGTCTTCTTTTATTGTTATTCGAAAATCTATCGAGTTTTATCATACGGCCTGTAATTGAGTAAACTGGCGTGCTATTGAATTACCGGTTGTACGTGACAAGGAGTAGGGTCGCCTGTCCAACCTCGTGGGTTTTCTCCGGGTCCTCTGGTTTCCTCCCACTGATAAAGACCCCTACGCGCAAGTGAAGTATTGAAATAAAATTAAACCATATGTTAGTCCCGAAATGACATAGTTTGTGTCGAGTGGACGCTAAACCCCATTTCTCTCTCCCTCCATTCGAAAATCAGGGTCATAGACCGTTTATTTGATTCGCTTGAGGCAACATGTGTCCATGAGTTTGATTAAATTATCGCTGTATTTACTTAAATGAATAATGAAATAAAGTATTTCTAGGTTATTTATTTGAATTTATAAATTATTTGGGGACAAGGTAACAGCTGTGAAACATAGAATATAGAAGAATTACCATCGAGATGAGATACGAAATTAGTTTCTATAACTATGAAGCCTAATATAATATAGCTAACTATAAATCACGGTCGAGATGAAACATAATATCTAAATCATGATAGAGATGATCGAGATACGAAATGAGTTTCTACATGGACATTTGCGGCGCCAGCCGCTGGTGGTTGGGGGATGGGGGCAAAGCTGGGGCAAATTCCGAGGTTAAGGGTGCAAATGCGCAAACGTCAACTAGAATATTTTGAAAAAAAGGGTGCCTGAAATGTAGTCCAGCAGTATTTCTGGCACTGATCGTCGTGATAAATAGTTATGACCATATACCGCCTGTCGCCTGGCCACTAGTTTATCCGACCAGAGTGAAAAGTGTCAAACTGACATGCGAACCTCGACGAAGCCCCCTCATGAGATCCAAAGTGGTGAGCCCTTGCGGAGGGTATGGGACACCTCCCCCAGAAAATTTTGAAAACTAGACTGCCCGAAATGCAGTCTGACAGTATTCATGGGCAGGCACTGATCGTCGAGATAAAAAGAGCTGACCAGATACCGTCGGTCGCCTGATCACTAGTTTATCCGACGAGAAAGGAAAGTGACACACGTACGGAGTGAGTGCATCAAAGTGAATGAATATTTTCGACACGATATTTTGAGAAATAGACTGCCGGAAATCCCGCCTAGCAGTATTTCAGACACTGTTCGTCGAGATAAACAGAACTGACCAGATACTGTCTGTCGCCAAATCACAAGCTTATCGGAACAAAGAGGGAGGTGTCAAACAACGGACTGAGTGAATCAAAGTGAATGCATATTCGTGCCGCGTTGAACCTGTACCCAAAAACTTTGAGGACCGTAAAAAGCACTTCCCAAGTGGTTCACGTTTTATTGTTTATAGTAGGTTTACAGCAGGATGGGTTCGGTAAAAAAAATCACTCGGACTGTACAACATGCAAGTTTATGACGGAGTGGAAATTTGGGATTTATTTATTTTTTTTAAATTATTGGGGGGAGGGGGGCGGCGGCATATTCCCAATTACAACATCGGGTCTCCATACCTACACTTGTGGTATAACCATGTCTTCCAATCCATTATATCTAATTGAATTCCAAGCCAAGAAAATGTCCGTCCATTTAAGACCCATGTAACCAAATCCCACCAGATTTTGATCTTTTTCCTTAACCTCGCTGATGGAAATCAGGGAGAAGGTTACCCATACCTCTAAAGGATCTGCATCGCTTTCAACAGGTCGGAGATTGGGATTATAAAAACTGTCAAATTATATATTTCGGTATATAAGTTATAACGATCTTCTTTGATGGAGGATTTGACGCTTGTTATCATCATACCAACTATCCAATAAATTACTTGGAACTACAATATGTTCATTTTAAGGATGTTTATTGCTGGACATCCACCTAAAAAACTAGCTAACATCAAACTTCAGATGGAGTTAGATGTTCGTCTTTCTTTAGAACCTCAAAAATCCACTGGAGCTGGCATAGACCGTTAAAAATACTTGTGGGCCCAGATCGCTATATCAAAATTAAAGTTATTAATCGGCTGTGAATTGACAGTCTTTGTCTTCGCTATAGAAAATTCTTCTCTTCGCCCTGCCTTCAGTGTAACAGAATATCGGGTAGTAAGGATTCATGTAAGGATTATGATGGTTTGAAATGTTTTATTATTGTGATTCTCACTGATGTATTATAAGAGTAACGAGAAAAGGCGAATGAAAATTAATGTATATAAAATATGTATTCATTATACAGTTTGTGATATCTTTCGAGATAGCTCATTGGTATATACATTAAGGTCAGACCTTGTTTTATAAACAATATTTTTATTCAGGTTGTCTGAATGGCATTGGGGAACAGGATTAATTAGCTTATGTAATACCACTCTCCCTAAATAATTAATATATATATATATATATATATATATATATATATATATATATATATATATATATATATAATATCAATGCAATATGTGTATATACATTGCGAAAATGGCAATCACATACATATTATATAAATATAATAAAATGGATAAAAATTTACAGTATATACATGTATACTCTTCAAAAAAAGTAGGGTATATTCAAAAACAATACAAAACTGCGGAAATGCACTGCTGTTTTTATTGGAGGTAACCAGTGTATGTTAATAACAGGCCAATTGCCTACACATAAACATAAACAGTTCATATGGGCGGCTTATCTGAAGGCCCCATTTCACTCGCAAAGAGATACACCGTAAAAAGTGAAAATGGACGTTTTTGATTTTTGTCTTAAATTAAATGAGTAATTGCACCATCAATCCGTCCAATCACGATTTGGGGCAATCTGAATCACTCCCCTTGCAGTGCCACGACCAATTCTTGCAGTATTGTCGGTTGACGTTGACGACGACGAACACGTCTCCCGTTCAAATTAAAGGTAACACATTTAAGCAAAGATACGCTAAACAGCAAATCTTATGCAAGAACCGATAGGAAAGCAAACATGAATAGATAAACCAGCACGCGCCAGTTTTATCAAACCTTCCTTGAAGTGTCAAATTTGACAATGAACCCCTCCCACGTGTATGGCGCTATTGTGTGTCGCATGTGCAACTCAGTGGTTCTGTTGGGGCGATAAGTTCTTCATCTGTGAACATACTCTCAGCATGTCAAATGTCCATGACATTTGCTGAACCAGCAAACTAAGTTTTAACCTAGCACCTAATGATTTGGAAATCCACTCAGACTGTTACATCAACGCCGTAATGGTTAACTTGCCAGCAACATATCGTAGATTGGATAATACAAGATCCGAAACCAGGAAAGACAACATTCTAAATGTAGTCTGTCAAGACACGCAAACGGGCTGGCAAGAACTCAATCAACTTTCGACCTGTCTGAAGAAATACTGGAATGAACGTGGTAATCTGTCTGTCCATGGTGGATTGCTCTTGTTCCAGCTTTCTGTTATCTTTTGTAAAAAAGTAGTCTTGAATATCCCGGCCTGTCAATTAGACGTAGAGCGGTCGGTAGACTGGCTAAGCGAGACTAATTTCAAACAAGGGCACGTAACCTATCTTTTACTCACAAGTGCCCGGATGTTATGACCGACACTCGTAACCATCTTTCAGTGCATTATTTATAGATGGTTAAAGGGTCACAGCTTATTAAGTACAACATGACCGTTTATTTAGTGACTATAAATGTGCGAAGTTATTCAATAAAACAATTGTGCAGACTCAAGTGGCAAAGGGATAATTTTGAATGTTAAAATCGTGCATGGCGCTTTCAAGTAAATAGTTTGGAACTAGGCTACGTCGGCAGTGTGGAAGATTTGAACTGGCATCTCATCAAATCCGAGTTTTACAGGAGTTCCCACGGTATTGCCAACTATGTAATCAGGCCGCCAGTACTGTGGTACCACAATATTATATAATCCATAAAGTCTGTTAAATTCCACGACAATAAATGGTCATTCCATTGAAGAACTATATACAAAATGACACCATTTGGTATTTGGCCTTAATCTCACTGCATGAGAGCAAGGAGAAGGCTATGTACGCATCTAGAATACCCAAATGTGCGTCAAGAGGATTGCAGATGGGGATTATAATAACTAAAAATATAGTCGTATAAATTATGCTCATCATTAATTATGCTTTATATACACAGCATATCTAAATTATCTGAAACTTGGGCATCCTACCACCCGAAAGAAACTCTAACACCGAGTCCGCGAAAGCATCCATAAAACTATAATCCAAAATGCATTAAAAAATTGTATAATTATTGATACTTTATAATAGTGGGTTATGTTTAAAACTGGGAGGTTGGTTCTGTAGCATGACCCGAAACCCAACTTATATGTCTGACAGAGATCTGTATTTGTCAAATATACTAAAAGCAATTTCGAGTAAACTATATTTTGGAAATTATTATTCATATAGATTAATTGATCAGTTAAACATGCATTATACAAGAGCTAAATCTGCCTATTGCAGGTCTTTCTTTGGGCCTGCAAGGGACAATGTATAGTCGTTTGGATTGGACGAAAAACCGAGGTGCCGTGTAAACATTGGCGTGCACGTAAAAGAACCACTGAGTTGGAATTCGATATAAAAGTATGGTGTAGTGCCCCTATCAGGGCAAAATTCCCTCATACCAAACTGTATGGCGTATGCCCGTCTTCATTAGCACAGTCGGTGCTTTGTGAAGATTTTCCTGTCAGTATTACAATTGGGTAAACTTGCCTTAAAGGAGATAAGTCGCTAATTCAATATCTTCCACAGTTTAGACATTTAAAACACAATTTATTGGTCAATTTAAATCAGCATTAATGTTGTTATCTTACCGAGGAAGGGTGGGCGTCTGTAATGAAACGACCCGATGAACAAGGCTAAACATACCCCACAGGAGAATAGTGCAGGTCTAGACTGGAATAACCAGACGTCAAAGACGACCATTAAATTGGGACTCTTCGCGTATATCTCCGAACATAACTGATTAGAAATTAGAGTAAAAACAGAAACGATTGAATGTAAATCAGTTTATATACATGCATATTTCATTTTATATGGGTGGCGACCCATTTGTGTCCATTTCTAGATGACAAAAAATAGCGATTTAGCTTGTTTAAACAATATTTTATTTCGCATCATGCAGTGTAAATATCATAAAATATTGTAAATAAGATCATAACAAGAAAATACATACATATAGAAAGCTAGATTTTGGTCTACTGGACTGAAACCATTTAGACAAAAGACATACATCAGCAGTGAACGTAATGAAAGTTACATTTTAGTCTACTGAGCTGGAACTATTTAGACAACAGGCATTATCTGTATACTCTACCTGTATACCCTATCCGAGTCCTTTCACAGGAAATTCAAAACAAAAGTATTCTATAACAATTAATGTACACATGCTGGGATGGTATAAGAGAGAGAGAGAGAGAGAGAGAGAGAGAGAGAGAGATTGGGTTTAACGTCCACTCGACACAAACTAGGTCATTTCGGGACTAACACATGGTTCAATTTTATTTTAATAAGTCGCTTGCGCGTAGGGGTCTTTAGCAGTGGGAGGAAACCGGAGGACCCGGGGAAAACCCACGAGGTTAGACAGGCGACCCTACTCCTTGTCACGTACAACCGGGGAATCGAAACCCCACCAGTTGACTTAATGACAGACCGTATGATACAGCGCACGTGCTAACCATTCGGCCATCCAACCCCCCTAGAGAGAGAGAGAGAGAGAGAGAGAGAGAGAGAGAGAGAGAAAACTAACCATTATTTTCCTAATTTATCTATACAAGTGGGCAGAGAGAGAGAGAGAGAGAGAGAGAGAGTAACATATAACATTATTTACCTAATTCATCTATACTATTATTTGGTTAATTGATTGGTGTTTACATAAGATGGTTACAACAGTCAAAGGTAATTCCATTCGCCATTAGAAATCAACATGGTATTTGTCATGAGTTTTAAATATAACTAAATCACGAACGTTGTATGAAATGACAGAATGTTTAATCTCAGTCCAGGCACGGCCATTTAATTTCTGAATGAGAAATATTCAGTACATGGTTGATATACAGATTATGGGCATGTACAATCTAGCCCCTGACTATTTAAAAAATCTAGTTTCAGTTAACTTAAATAGACGTTCAACACGTTTAGCTACTACTGATCTCTTTTATGTTTCATTTACTAAAAAAACGAACTTTTGCAGACAGGGCGTTCAGTGTGGCTGGTCCAGATACTGTAAAGTCATCTTTAACATTAGACAAATTTAAACAATCATTAAAAACCCATCTTTATAAGCCCCCATTCCCGGAATAAACGGAACTCTGCTAAAAGTGATTTAACTGACATATTGTGTGCTATATTGTGTGCTACATGTTATGTTTGTTATGGTCTTTATGTTGTGTGTTTTGTAAAGCGCATTTGAATGCTGATGTGCAGCAGTAACGGGCGCAATACCAAATTCCGATCTTGATTCACCGTGCAACCCAGATCGAACCCAAATTTTATAAACTTATAAACTCAAAAATCATCTCTTATGAAACATACACAATCGTAAAAAAGCTATATGTATAGTTTCTTATGAGGGTCGAACTGGGGCACACAAATTACACAGACATTTCAAACAATAACAACAACCGTATACATTGAGTATTTCGCTGTACAATCCCGGGACTGTACACGATCCAAATAATATCAACTTCACAGCAGCTTAAGTTTTATACAAAGCCATACATAAATCAGATGCTTAAAATGTTCATAAGAAGACACTATTTACTTCCGATGATGTATCGTTGAGTCTGGCGGAAGACAGGTTTATAGTAATGGAATCTGAAAGAATAGAGGCTTCACAGTTTGCTGGTAAATCACTTTCAGAATCTGAAATCTCTTTTTGGGCATTATTCACATTCTCTAACCACGCTTCGATCCTTTTAAACCGCTCTTCTTTCGTTAATGCGGATTGGAGACCCTCCAGTGAGTTTTCGGTTCGTCCTTTTGAATCTCGTTGTGGTAAACTAGAGTCATTACCCCTTTCAGCTGGGTGATTATATAGGTCTTCTTGAGAAGCTGATCTTAGAAGTTCATCCGCATTTGTAGCTACACGAGTATTGTCTTTGTCATTATTGAATCTAATGTGACCTTTAGTTTTTCTCGGACGATTCTTTGATAAAAGATTAAAAAATGGTCTTGGGTGCGGTTTGATAATTGTTTCATTTTCTCGTTTAACATAAGAGGATGTAAAAACACGTGGTTGCCCCAACCCTTTCGATCGAAGATATTCGCATAATTTCGCGGGAGTCATTCGAACACAATGGCGTCTGTCTGTGTCCATTCTGTGTATGTTTTCGGACGAAGTGGTCTGCTGAGAAATAGTATCAACATCAGTTGGAAGTTCCCCGCTCTTTTTTCTCTTTGGCGGAAGGTTCAGGCTTAAGAAAGTTCTCTCTCGCATCTGAATTTTTGGGAAGGGTGAAGTGAATAGCTGTTTGGTATTGGTTGAGTCGAGTCGTAGACGTTCATAAAGTTCTTGGCATTTCTGTAACTGTAAATAGAAATATTATTTTATGTGTTTAAATTTAAGTTTCAACTGAGGGTTAGGTTTAAGAATTTGGGGGGAGAGGTTAAGTCTCCACATAAGCACTGACCTAGGATGATGAAAAATTAGTTCGTGATATTTCCTCGTTTTATTAAAATACATACAATACATTAGATTTATATACAAAGGCGATTTCACTGTTTATTGGTGTTGGTGGCGCTGATGGTCTTCCTTGGGTGGTGCTTCTGGTATTCACAAACTCTGCAATATCATCCCTTGATTATTTCTCGATTACTCGATTATGTCACTGCGGTTACCAATTCATTTTTGAAAATGAAATGAAATGGAATGAGGTTTAAAGTCCTACTTTTCTGCTCCTATTGGGCTAATAAAGACGGGCATACGCCATACAGTGTGTTTTGAGGGAAATTTTGCCCGGGCAGAGGCAATATGACTTTCTCTTACATCGAATTCCATCTGCAACGCCAATATATACACGGGTCTTCATATTTCGTCCAATCCAAACGACTAGACAGCTGTCCTTGACAGGCCCTCCTTTCTGCACCAATGACGAGGGGAAACAACGTCAGAAAATCCCAATACAAGGATCAAACACGCCCCAGGCTAGCGAGCTAGCGTCTTACCAACTTAACCACCGTGTCTCCCATTTTTATTATTTTTTTTGTAAAATAAGTTTTTAAATTCTTAGAAATACGAGGGTTTTTGGCATACAAGTACTAAAATGTTCCTAATGGGGTGATTAATTGCATCAACACCGGTAGCGCATCTAGAAGATATGAATAGGGGAGGGGCGGTTCCAAATCTAAGGCACCACCCACAGTCCAACCCACAATGAATGTCAAAACATTCGTCGATCGATCGATCATTGATATGGGTTAAAGGGTCGGTATTGCTACCCCTTAAACTACTGAGTTGAGGGGTTGCTAGTTCGGAATTAGCATTTTCATCTTCTCGTGCTATACTTGCCTCTCATTCCCGAAAGACACTTCTGACAAGCTTGTATAGCAAAATGCGTCTGCGATATTACCCTCGGTGGAAGTTGACGATAACCTCCTCTAACTAACGAACAATTTGTTCGAAGTAAAACAAAACACTCCCTCTTGACACTTTCAGACACATGCATATATCTTTGTTATGGCTGATAGCTTTCTTTTCAATTGTTTTGTTTCGTCAGGTGACTCTGCCCTTGATAAAAGTTTACATACAGAAAGCTAATCGATTGTTTTTCACTTATCCACAAATTAAACTAGAAATTAATCAAACGGTGACTCATATAACTGTAGAGGTTCCCTACACTAATCGAAACCACAGAGTTCAAAAATGTATTTGAATGTAATTCAAAGAGTTTGTTTTCTATAAATCAAAACAGAAAAAAATTGTCTTGAATTGTTGAAATAATTAATTTATTATCACCTTTAAGTGAAATACTGCAAGTATTGCAACCACTGGGGAATTAAGATTGAAAACATAGTCCCGTAAGCTTCTGATATAGTTCCTATCAATAAACAATCAAGCTGCGCCTAAGGGGAACTTACAGACGCCTTGCGTTAGTGATCCACAACGAACTCTCTGCTTTGACGTCAATGATGACTGTCCTATTGTCCACACGGATGAGTTACTTATCACGCATATCAATTTACCTGTCATGGTTTTATTTATCTTCTATTATCTTATTTACCTATCACTGAACTCAAAATAGCATAGTTTCTCTGTTTATTCATTTACTTTCAATAAAATTGTATGATTAATCAAGTATTTAACGGATAACAAATTCCCTCGACTCTTCTGTATTTGCAAAACAATGAAACCCGATACAACGCATGATTTAATACACCGAAACATACCTAGTTTTTTCTGCTTGATGGTGCCTCCTCGTATCGGTGGGACTATGAATCAAGGTCGACTATGAGCACATTAGCTAAAAGAACCTTTGGCAGCCCTTGCAATGAATTACTATACGTTAATACCCTAAAGACTGAAGTATTGTCTTGAAAAGACGATGAATTTAATATCATTTACGTTCTTTAGGTTAGTAAACTTAACGTTAACTCGGTTAACTCGATCCCGAGACATTACTGAGAATAGATGGTAAAAAATTAAGTCATCGGAGACTTGAAAATGCTTACACACAAACTTTATTGACGTAACACACCATGGGCAATATCGGAACTTAAACATTTGCGTTACAGACATGTTGCGTAAATTAAAGCGACATATTTCTTTTAGTATAAATGGAAAAGACTCATATTTCACTGAAATGCGTGTTTAAATTCAGATTTGGTTGCGTTTAAACATTTAGCTTTCCCTTGCAGAGTTTAGTTTAAATGTAGTTCGCACAGTCGAGGGAGGCTCGTTAGCGCAGCGACTAAGAAGCTGGCTCTCTAACAAAGGGGGACTTGGGCCCCCCCATTGTTGGCCACGGAAGTTCATCGGGATTTTCCGTTGAGGTTTCTTCCTTGTCAGTGGTGCAGGACGGAATGGAACAGAAAACCGAGGTCCGTAATACACATTTTCACGAAACTAAAATAATAAAGCATGCCATATATGCCGTCTTCGTTAGCCCATTCGGTACCCGGTGCAAAAAAAGTATATCACGTTAAACCCCATTTCATTTCATTTCACACATCCGAACACATGATCAAATTAAATAAACTAAACTTACTACTTGATATCCAGTTTTTGATCAACTTTGAACAAAGCAAAACTTTCGTAATATGTTATATCCGCTTTGGGAAAATTATGTAAATGACTTTAAAACGGTGACGTCCAATTGATAGGATCAAGGCGTAACTTATTCAAAGGATCCCGGATCTTTTGATCAAAATTACAATATTTTGTGAATATAATGAATAGTAAATAAGATATTTTGTTCACTCGCATTTGCATCTTTAATAACTTGCATCCGCAAAAAAAAAACTTTCAAGATATACATCTTAATACCGGAAACAATGTATATAATGACGCAGATGGTATTGATGTTTATCGTATAAATGTAAATGAGAAACACCCGCGATCTTAAGATAAGTGTGAAATATTATGAACAACAAAATGTTTTTACATTTTTCAGATTGAAATTCTCAGCAATCGTATTGGTTTTTTTAAGGAGATGCGGTATGGGGTTAGGTACTGCTTTAATATTGTGTATAGTCTATTTGGATCGGAGACAACCCCGTATCCCAAACCGCACACACTTATTCAGAGTCAGTCACGCAAAATGTTGCCCTTTTTAGATTAAATAATTTTCACAGACAAATTTTCTGTGTCTAATATCTTTTGGAAAAAAAAAACGTAAACAAAGTTCTCCTCGATCTGTTTTATATACGGCTTATTCTAATAAAATAGAAAATCAATTACAAAGCAATAAATACTCCCCTTTTGTCATGTAAATAATTCAGTAGCATATATTAATGGCCATACCACAATAGCAAAAAACCCAAACCAGATCGATAGCAATTTGTATTAATTGATGGAATCAAATTTAGCTATTGGATAAATATTCCTATGGCTGTCTTCTTATTTATTGACGCTTAAATATTGGAAATTGGGTTCTTCAGTGTAATTTGATTGTGGTATATTTGAAATTTTTGTTTGCCTAAAATCTAGCCTAGTTTCATGTTTTTAAGTCAGGAAAAGAGAAAACAATCTTAAAGTAGGGGTTTTTCTAAATTGTAGCCTAGTTTCAGGTTTTTAAGTCAGGAAAAGAAAAAACAATCTTATAGGGGTTTCTGGAAAGCGAAATGAATTGAAAAGGAATGGGGTTTACTGTATAATTCTGCACCAATCGAGCTACTGAAGATGAGTATCATTAAGGTACTCTCAGTGGCATATATAGGACCTCGGTTTTGCGTCCCATCGGAACGCCTATAAGCTTTCCTTGTCAAATCATTGAGCCAATATAATTTTACTACACATTGATAAGTCAATATCCTAGAATATATGTTTCTATTTGCAGTAAACAGTAATAGCAGAAAGCAAACAAAGCTCCAGTATTTTTAATATTCTTTAGAAGAATAAATCTATATGTATTGGAAATTTAAAAGTCTCTTGCTAGTTTCATGAGACTAATGAGTAATGGAGGATGCCATTCAATTTAATCACTGATGTGTTTCCCAGTAAAATAACAAACATTTAAAAAATTCTAATCCTAAATGAATAACTTTAATCAATTTCTTCAGAAGTACAGTTGAATTCTAAACAGGATGAATTATATCAATAAACAGTGTTACTTAGTTACACACGTCTATACAGGAAGCTATATATGCCTCGAAAAAAAATATAGATAGCAGCTTATCTGAACTGACAGGACAATGGATGTCGATCAAATTTGATAATGAGGTGGGACGGAAGGCTGCGGAACGCTGGATATCGATAGAGTCCACCCTCTAATAATTCAATACGATAAAAGAAAATCCGTTTTCAGGAGCCAATCGTTGAGGGGCCGACAAATCAACAGGGTGACACTGAAATGTGGGCGTAAAAAACTGTCTTTGTATGTAAACACGTTGGATGATAAATCTGCTGTGAAAAACAACTTCAGACTTTGAAATCCCCATACGTAAAATGGGGCGTGTGTCGTGTATTATGATAGGCATGTTAAGCCATTTCAGATCACCTAAAATAAATCCTCATTTAATTGGATATTCGTATAGCTATATACCAACCTGTTTCACAGAGATCTTCTAATATCTCTGTAACAGACGACTGTTTCGTCACGTGACGTAACATCACGCGGCGTCAATCATTGGCTCAATAGCGCGTGCATTGTTTACATAAGACGTTACGGATTCGGGCTAAATGGTGAATTTTACTTATTTTAATACCCATTTACACTAAATAGGCAATGATTTTTAACTACAAATAATTCAAACGTCTTTATTTATTTTTCTAATAAATGAAAACCATGAAAACAATGTTTTAGAATTCAATTTGACGAAAGAAAAAAGTTAATATTTGGGACTCATTAAGTCGCATCGATGTCATCCTTATCAGTGATTGTAGCGCACTAGCGAAAATTTACTCCTGATCAGTGTGGCTAAACACATGTAATTGAGCTTTGCATTAAATCTGCTTTATTTTAATATTTCAACACCTTTACTTCACATGTTCGTGTTCGATTTAATTACGAGAGAGAGAGAGAGAGAGAGAATGAGAGAGAGAGAGAATGAGAGAGAGAGAGAGACACACACACATGGTTCAACTTTATTTCAATAATTCGCTTGCACGTAAGGGTCTTTAGCAGTGGAGAAAACCGGAGGACCCGGAGAAAGACCCACGAGGTTGGACATGCGACCCTAATCCTTGTCACGTACAACCGGGGAATCGAAACTACGCCAGTTGAGTCAATGGCAGACCTTATGATACAGCGCACACGCGCTAACCATTCGACCACCCAACCCCGTGATTTAATTACGAAATAAAGAAGCTACATATAATATGACTGACTGGCTGTTACTTCGATTTGAAAACGTATGGGCACTTGAATTGTTATTCCAAAGTTTATTCCAGCAATAAATGTTAAATACGGATCTTAGAAAACCAGATGTTAATGGATTCATATAAATTCTCAATTTCGTAAATAAGATGCAATGATCATCAATATATTTGTGAGTAAGCAACCGATCAATATCAAGGTGTTGACAAAATGATACGTGTTTGATACGTAGAATAAAGAGAGCATGCGCTCGGCATCCGCTAGACATCCGCTCGACACAACAGGAAAAACCCCTTTTGTTACACGCCCCATACCAATTTTCAATTCCCTCTTATTCTTAAAAGGTTTTTTTCTATCAATTTTCGTATCAAAATTTATTTTGATTCCTTTGAGTCTTAAGGTTTTAAAAGAAAGAGCACTGCAGTGGACACTTAATATTTCAACATCTACTACTATATAGATATTAATTATTAGTATAAGATACGTTCTTAGAATATAAAAATAATTATATCCAAGGTAGATATTGAACAAGATTATGAGGTTTAATAATTTACTAATTTATATTCTAACATATTCTGATTCAATAGTGAAAATACCAAATTATCGTTACAAAACAGTAACCCTAACCCTTATTCGTGACATCAAAGAAACTAGTTTATAATCAAGTGTCGTTAACACCTAATAAAGTCAGTATGTTAGTAAAGGATATGTTATATGAATATTGTTATTGAAACAGTTACTATATTATAGTAATATATACAATAGCCTTTAGTAAGTAACTTTATTAAAAGTCCTCATAGAGTCCATTACATGTATATAAAATACCTTTAAGCGATTCCATTTATAAACTTTACATGTAATCATATAGATCTTTACGTATTTTAAATAGGTTTAATGGGTGCTCGTAATGTAAATTTTGAATGAATTGCCTAGCCTGTTATAATATTGTAGGGCTACTCCATACCATCAATATTTCAAATGCTCCAATATAGAATGGATCTAAAGCTTTCTAGTGGAAGTAGAAAGGGAAATAAAACTTGCCTACTGAGAATTAATACTGATATAATCATACGTGGATAAAACTTCTTAAAGGGGAAGTACCAGTTGAAATTTATGTTAAGTTGTATTTGATTTAAAGGTTGAGGACGGGGTATGGCGTAACTCGTGCTTGTCATTGAGTAAAGTGGCACTGTTTCGATTCAAAGCTTATACATGACAAGGGGTAGGGTCGCCTGTCGAACCATCTGGGTTTCCTCCGGGTCCTGCTAATTGAACTACATGTACATGTTAGTCCCGAAATGACATATTTTATGCTGCGTGGATGTTACAGTTTGTATGAAATATTCACCTCTCTTCTCCTTTATGGTAACTAACTGTACAATATAAACACTATATACTTTAGAGGGTGTCCAACATCCAAGATGTTTCGCATCGAGTGGCAATCATTTGCATACTTTATGGTCAGTGTTTATATAGGTGCTTTTAAATGTGGCCGGAAAGAAAATAACAAAGAAATAGTGTCATTTATCAATGAAACACGACTATTAAATTATCAGGCTAATGAAAGTGCGCCATAGAATGTGCTATGGGGGAAATTTTGCCGTACAACAGCGATATGGCCTACTCTTTTTTCGAAGGGTTCTTCTACGTGCATGTGACCAAGGTTATTTGTCCAATATAGACACCATTCTGCACCAATGACAACGCGAAATCTCTCGTGGAACTTTCTCGTCCAACAGCGAAATCAAATATACAACTTTCTGGGGAGTGAGCCAGCGCCTAAACAAGTTGGTCAACTTCACGCATGTGCTTAATTAACCACAGATAGAGAATAAAAACAAGCCCCACCCCACCCCCAACACACACACACACCCAAGTTTAAAGAGCGAAACCATCTAGATACCGTTATAGTTAGCGGTTAATACCATGCAAACAGGCGGTATAAATCGCGCATTGTGTGTTGAAATTTAAATCTTTTGAATCAATCTAATCTACACGAATACCGCCTTAGAAGCTATAAGCATATAAAAGGTGAAACAATCCTTGAAGGGGTTACTAAGTGGATTATACATTAGTTTATTTATAGCCCCTTTAAGTGTATTAAACGATATAGGTAAAGTAGAGTTTTCCTTAAACACGCCAACTATTTTGAACAAATAGTGTTAGCGCACTTTTTTTTACCAGTCCCTGTTAGTGTTTACTTTTAAAGATAAGCATGTTTAAACAATTAGACATGGCTATTAACTGCGGATTTTATGGAAAGCATTATAGATTATTTGCGACGGAAAATTAAGACTCTTCAGAGCGGGAAAAGTAAAGAAATCGGTCGGGTGTAATGAAGTTTAATAAATATTTTAAATGGGCATTACCAATTTCACTAAGAAAATAAATGTAATTGATTTTGAATAATTTATAATGACTTAATTAATAACATTGGCAAATGAAGCGCCGACTTAATACAACAAGTGTTCATTAAGCACTGACTTAAAGTTACAATTTCATATTTTCTAAGAAAGTAAAAACATAATTATTTCTATGTCTTTTGCTCAATAGGTTGTCAACTCACTATTATACGATCATAGGTGTCATTCTCACAAACTCATTTACGCCGGAAATAATAACACAATTACCTCCCAATTACCTCCCTTGTTTTATATTCTCCACCATGAAGTAGCTTTTTTAAAACGTTTGAATTTGAAGAGGAAAATGATATTTTTGCCAATTTCTCAACTGGCAATAGTGAATTAAAGGATTAATAGGATATTTCTTTAACAAGGTAGAACTGTTTATAGATACCATCTATTTTAAGGCTTTATTTTAATAAATGTTAAAAATATAACGTAAAAATATGAAATTGCAACTTTAAAGATACATTATGGGAGATTCGATAACGAGTTGGCAGTTCTCACTATAATAGTTAAAAACTTGGTAATGTAAAGGCAATTTGCTGAAAAATAAGCAATTGAAATTTCCGCCTAGCCTCGATCAGCATTACTAAAGTCAGTACGATAAACAGCATAGTCTCGATTACCCATTTAATCGTTAAATCGTGAAGGAAAGTTATGCAGTAAATCGGCTCATAATCCACTACAGTTCGCAGGCTAGCGACGCCATCTAGAGTTGATTATGATCTGGATAGGTTAATTAATGTCTAATTAATGTTTAATACAACTCAAAAATTGAAATTCGAAACGTGAATATCTGAGCGATCTGAACATGTCCGTTGTTGGTGTATAGTCTAAAAGCGAAACTATGACAATGATTACTCGAGTGAAGCGTAAAATATTTCTGGGACTTGTTGTTTGTTTTTGTTATTTCTAAACATGGCAATCTTTATGTACCGAGATAAAATGCCGGGAGAGAAAAACATTTTAGGGTCGAATGCAAAATACACTTATTTAAACATACATTATGCAAGCGCTAAATCTGCCTATTGCAGGTCTTTCTTTACTTTAGGCCTGAAATAATTTCTAAATTATTAATTATACATCAATTTACATCAATTAACTTATCCAGGTCATAATAGATTAGAACAGTTCAGCCGTATTTTGATTTAAGCTAAAAAAAAATGAGGGAGCGAGATTTAGCTTCGAACAACCAGTACGGTGGTTGAAATTAATGCAGACGTCTTGTCAAACCTTCAAAGCCTAATTCTTCGCTCGCAATAGAGTAATTTGAATGAAATTTTCAAATTGTTCATTTTACATTATCTATTTTCGAACTAGTATAGCAAGAATGGCTAGTTCTTTATCTAAATCTTACATAATGCATCTTTAACTATTATAGCAAGAATGGCTAGCTCTTTATCTAAATATTACTTAATGTATCTTTAATATACTAATAATTATGTATAAATAATTATGTTCAAATGTATTTACTATGTATTTTAAAATTGTCACTGCATTTAACAAAAGACAGATAATGGCGAGACTGGCAAACATTTCTTTGTCTTCTGACGACGATCTGACTTTTGAAATCCGAATAGAATATCTCGAACGGTCAGAAGGACTTATCTTTAACTAACATATTTCTTTAGTATCTGTTTCTGCTATAAACATAAGTCATATTCACATTGGCGCGACTATATACGTGAAATTAGGAAAGTGGAATCTTTAATAGTAATAACAGTCAAAAATTGGTTAAATTCCGTTCAGCATTTAGGATTTGAAAATTCAATAGATCTGTGCTTCTCCCTGTGTAGCAAGACGCCGCCATGTTATTTACCTCGGACCAAATTGATGGACCTGTTTTAAATCCAATTTAATCCAAGTTGGGAAATTATCTAGTATTGGTATTTTGATTTTGTTTTCTTAGTTAAATAATCAACCTGTGTACATATTAGCGTGGATTAAGCCGTGAGAAATTTGCTATTTCAGCGAAAAATGCAAAGCACGTATCGTTACTTTAAGAGTGAGTTGACACGGGAATTTAATTTACCTGTCTAAAGTATGTGTTTATTTGAGGAGTTTTCAGTTTCGCTGGCTTTTTCTTTGGTCTCCCTCCAAATGTCCATGGTCTCTGTCCTTCTAGTGCCATTGTTGTCATTCTGTAAATATATATATAGATAATATACAATTATAAACTCCGAATTCGTGCATTTGGAATGGAATCATTCAACTTTCTCTTCAGTCCTACAAACAACCCATGCCTTGGTCAAATCCAGTAAGGTAAGTAGTAACGTTCATCTGCCATCGGGGGTTTGGATGGCCGAATGGTTAGCACGTGCGCGCTGTATCATAAGGTCTGTCATTTAGTCAACTGGCGTGGTTTCGATTCCCCAGTTGTACGTGACAAGGAGTAGGGTCGCCTGTCTAACCTCGTGGGTTTTCTCCGGGTCCTACGGTTTCCTCCCACTGCTAAAGACCCCTACGCTCAAGTGAATTATTGAAATAAAATTCAACCAAGTGTTAGTCACGAAATGATCTAGTTTGTGTCGAGTGAACGTTAAACCCCATCTCTCTCTCTCTCTCTCTCTCTCTCTCTCTCTCTCGCTCTCTCTCTCTCTCGTCTGCCATCAACTACCAGAATCAAACATTTAACTAAGATATGTATGTGTTGATATGAACAAAATGGGGGTTAACGTCCTACTGTTCTGCTCCGACTGGGCTAATGAAGATGGACAGACGCCATACCGTGTTTAAAATGAAATGAAATGGGGTTTAACGTCCCACTGTTCTGCCCCGACTGGGCTATTGAAGACGGGCATATAGTGTGCTATGAGGGATTTTTTTCCCGGACAGCGGCGCTACGATCTACTCTTATATCGAATTCCAACTGACAAGGGATCTGTAACGTGCACACCAATTTGTACACAGGACCTCATTTTTCGTCGACTATACACTGTCCTTTGCCTGGTCCTCTGCCCTGCTCCGCTAACAAGGGGGGGGGGGCACGTCATAATAAATGATACAATTTTCCACTAAGTGGTTCGGAGAAATTTTACCGCTGTGCCTTTATCAAAGAACGAAAAAAAAGAAAGAAGGTGGGATTTGGTTGTGTTCTATGACCATTTTATGTATGTAACAGCAATCTTTCTAAATCTCAATTCGAGTAGCTGTTCCCATTTGTAATAAAAACTGAAACAGCTTGGTATCATCATTGTGTCGGGAGATGGGTCTAAATATTCGTTAGCTATTTCTACTCAACTGGAATTTAAACCAGCATATACAATTCAAAATAACAATGTGATTCAATGAGGGATGTTAACTTCGTGACTCTGACGTATAACCCCAATTTACCGGAAAGAATTAGCATAGAATTATCACACCATTTGTTTAACAATGTCAACTTTAACGTAAAGTATCAAGGACAGAAAGAGCTGAGATTTCCAACATGAATTTTATAAGAAATGGAAAAGGGTTGCTCTTTTTTCCTGTGGTGCTATACAGTGTCTCCATACAAATAAAAGAGTCATAGAAGATGAACTGTATACATCAAAATAATCAAATAATACGATTGAGTTACCTGTAAATGGTTGCACACGTTGTATACGATCCAGTTAGCTTCTAAATTAATATATACATATATCCAAATAAACTTTTAAATGATCTTTAAACGTATGCCAGAAAAAAACAGGTCGCTTTACATGTACGTTACGTATATATATAGTACCTGTTATAATATTATTACAATACTGTAAGAGACACTTATACAGTAAACTGTAGATTTTATGATCATAACAACCAGAATTTATTGATTCATTAAATTACACCATATTTTATGGTTTATTTATTTGAAATGTGGACCCGTAAATCAGAACGAGAACTTATTGATCATCAACGATAAACAAACGTACTTTGTCACTGTCAGATATAAATGTATTCATTGAGACCTTTAGTCATTAAAACCCATTGGTAGTTCAATCGGTGAAAAAGGTAGATTGTGATTTGATTCGATTGTTTAATCGATAAATTACAAAATGAATCCATAGAATATAATTAACATAATGATCTAAATCACGTATGCTAGAGATACATACGATTCTCTTTTATGGAAAGAATATCAGTGAGGATTTCAGAAGCTGTTCACCAACTCTTATAGCTAAAGCTATCTTGTACCGTAACCCTAGCTAAATCATAGTGAACAGATAGTGTTATCTAATTACAATGTGAAGAATTTTCAAGATGTGAACTCCTTTTAAGATGTTAGATTAGATCCTTTAATTTCGAGGGTAATTGAAAAATGAAGTGAAATGGGGTTTAACGTCCTACTGTTCTGCTGCGACTGGGCTAATGGAGACGGGCATACGCCATAGAGTGTGCTAATGATGGGAATTTTGCTCGGACCGATGGACAGCGTCCTAATTTTATATCGAATTCCAACAGTCAAGGGATCTTTTACGTGCATTACAATGTGTACACGGGACGTCGTTTTACGTCCCATCCGAAGGACTAGACATCTGTCCTCGGACCCTCCGTCCTGCACCACTAACATCGGGAAACCACACCGGAAATTCTCGATGAACTTTCTAGGCCAACACTGGGAGCGAATCCATGACTTCTAGGCTAGCAAGCCAACGTCTTACCTACTTAGCCACCGTGGCTCTCCCGAGGGCAAACGGAAACAGCGAAGCAACTGAACTGTAAATAAAACAAACACCATTTTGTTTCACTTTTCTACTTACCAATAACCGAATAAACTATTAACCAAATCTAGTTAAATCCATCGGCTTTATCTATAAGCCCCACTGCGTTAAATGACACATAATTTACATTATAAATAAATATTAACTCTTCACAAACAAATACAATCGCTATCCCAGAGAATTTCCGTTTCATTTAATTATAGTCTGTGTGTTTAAACTCTTAAACCTAGGAATGTTTATATACTTAATACTCCTGTAAACAAACCGAGTACTACCTTATACTCTTATCTTTAAAGCGACACTCAAGGTTTGAAATATTTGATAAATATTAAGATTTTATTTGATATGGTTGCCACCTACATGTGATTCCCACATCTAAGATTTTTCATTTCAAAGAATCCGAAATAACTGAATTGTACAAACTTAGCTGGACGGATATCACCGAGAGCTGTATACGCTAAAAAAAAAGAGAAACATCAATCGAGTCTAATGTTTCTAGAATTTTACTGAGCACGTCTTCTAAGTACCCCCTCTGTGTATTTAACACAGGCGTGTTTTCCGAAGGAAAAAGAAAGTGAAAGAAATGGGGTTTAACGTCCACTCGACACAAACTAGGTCATTACGGGACTAACACATGGTTCAATTTTGTTTAAATGAATCGCTTGCTCGTAGGGGTCTTTAGCAGTGGGGGGGAGACCGGGGAGACCCGGAGAAAACCCACGAGGTTGGACAGGCCACCCTACTCTTTGTCACGTACAACCAGGGAATCAAAATCACGCCAGTTGACTCAATGACAGACCTTATGATACAACGCACACGCGCTAACCATTCGACCATCCACCCACCCCCCTGTTTACCGAAAGAAATATACGTGTATTTAAAGACGGTGTAAGATATCATATTTCTTTAATTAAAACCTAGTATCCCTAAAAACAAAACCGGATGCATTCTGACCTCCACGGTTCATGGAATTTGGCTGAGAAGAGTTGAGCTAGTCGAAAAAAAAGTGATTAAAATCGAATTTCACACCACTTTTCTCGGTTTCGGAATAACATTACTGGACCATTAAATTATCTAGCACAGTTGCACAATATTAAAATTGTTTACACGCATATCAATGATTGTTTATTTTATCTTGTTTTGTCTCTTTCTTTTACTTTTTATGTAAAATCTTCGTATTTTTAAACTGATACTGTTATATTTTAATAGGCCATAAAGCATGGTAGTGTTTATATATACCTATGTAAACAACACGTAGATTTAAAAACAAACATATATAAATATCAGCAAATCAGAAAGTGTTGACAACTAAATTAATTGACTCAATTTTTAGATTTGTCTAAGAAAGTTTCTTTTATTTTGCGGGATAGTAATGGTTGTAATATGTAAAATTTGAACTCACCTTCAAAGATATTTGTTTTGAATCAATCCATAAATTGTAGGACTTTTTATCATTGATACAGGTAAGTATGGGTCCTTGTACAATATAGCCCTTGGTTATAGCTGTATATCTATAAGTCGACTGTAACTGGTGATGACAGGTGTGCGCTGTATATATGTATTATTAACTAACTGTTCGAGGGGAAACGCAATCTGTTTTTAAACAATTTTGCTAAGGGGCGTAACTCCATTTAGCTTCAAAATAGCTTCATCGGTGTACGTTTCGAAACTAATGCGAGAGATGTGCGTCCACTCGACAATAGCCAGGACATTTCGGGACTAACATATGTTGTAACTGTATTTCAGCAATAGGAGACACCCACAGCACTCGGTGACAGACCTTATGATCTAAAACGTGTGCATTATACACTTCATTGGTATAATATTGGTAATTACTTTAACAAACATATTAATCAAATATTTTTACTAATGTACGCTGATTTTATACTTAACTCATTTGAAACAAACATTCAATATAATGTCGTTGGTGATATTCAGTTTGTATTTATCAATAACTGGATTAGGATTGATTTCGATGTGAATTACAATGGAAAGGAATGAAATGGGGTTTAAAGTCACTCTCGTAAACACAATACTCTTCTTTCCCAGTTTCTTGCACATGAATTTAAAATCTGTTCAGTTGGAATATTTTTCTGGAGAGGCCATCTGTGCAACTACTACTGCCCCACTCTGCCCCGAAGAACTATCTACTTTGATAATAGGCCTCTGTCCTGAACGGCCGCCATATCCAAAAAATAGTATACTCTTTTGTAATGTGACTCTAATCTATTTAATATCTTTCATACACACAGTTTTATTACAAGGAAGTGGAATAAATAAGTTCTCAAAGTTCTCGAGTATACTTAGTGTTTTCGACTAAAATCGTCTATTTAGGACTAAAAATGTCGGTCAACTAGCTTAATGTCTGTTCTCAAGTGGAGACAAGTTTAGTATGCCACTGTCCCTAATATGCACGTTAAATAAGTCTAACCATCACATTTATATGAATATTCAGATAAGTCAATATTATATTTACATACTTGTATTTATGGGTTAATATCGAACTTTCCCGGTAACATTAAATTGGTGCTTACGTGCTGATACGTTTATTTAAAGGGTTGGAATCTTAAATGACGGTATGATGATTCAGTTAACTATTTATTATGAAGTTTTGTTTGTCTGCGTGGGTCTTACTTTTTATTATATTGTTGAACAACTACGATTGTTTGCCCACCAATGCGTAATAAATGCTTTCTTTCAATTTGTCTGGTAGTGTAAGGGGGACAACTCTAATACACCTCTGCGTTAAACTTGAACACAATTTCAATGCACAGGGACACGTAAATACCCCTAAACCGGGTTTGACTAATAAAGATACTTATTTAAAAAATAAAATAAAAATAGATTCGTAACCCCATATTCGGGTAATCGATAGGGTTTATATTGTACGGAACTGTCTCAATACCCTCATAAGACAGACCTACAGCAAGTTTTGAATGTTTAATTGAATACAGCCGCCAAAGAACTAGTTCTGTTTTGTTTATGTCGATAAAGGTTCAAAAGTAATACCCTTCATTAAGTTTATAAGCATAAAATGGTTGAAATAATAGTAATCATGAATTCGGATAATATATTTTAAAGTTGTCAGTTGTCTTGCCTAGCTTAATGATAAATATACATTGGTGGGAAATCTTAGAAACTCAAAAAACATTTGTTACCAAAGCTCAGGAAACCCAAACACAAAGACCTCTAAATAGCACCATCATTCAGATGCTCCATAAACCCGCCAACTCTTACAGCTATAAAAATGGCTCTTCAGAAAACAAAATATGGTGACAACAGTAATACTCGCAGTGGCATCAGTCGGGTATTCTATTATAGCATTATCGTCGCTTTCTTCCATAAAACCAGGTAAAGTTTCGGCACTGTAAAGATATTGTGGAGGCTGTTTTGTCTCTCGTAAAGCAAAAGTAATGCAACTATTTTGTTTAAAGAAAACATCCCGATGCCAAATAATGATACACCAAAGAAGACATTGTGAAAAGTTGTATTTATTATGGAACATAGATCGTACGGATGTAGAAGTCGACGGTTAATAGATATTACAATCGGTGCCAGTAGGATCCGTTACCTCCAGAACTTTTTTCTTTAATCTTTTGAGTTTATGCAAAATCAGAAAACGTTATTATTCACATAGACAACTTATTGCTACTAAATGATCCGTCGTTCAGATTCTATCCCGATTATACACCAATCACCAGATATCAGAGTTTACACCTATCTACCAGGGCGGGAATGTTTTACTGTATAATAAGTTGTTAGCTAACCACTAAGATATGTATGCTAAATGTTGCATTTAAAAAATGCTACAGCAATATGGGTTCCATAACCACCCTTCCCCAATATATACTAAATAGGCCCATAATGGATTACGACCCTATACATTTTACGTCCAACTACTACTATGTCATTTGGAACTTTAATTGGTATACAAACACTAATCTTGCCCTTATCAACGGTACTATATGTAATACAATTATAGCTCGACAGGGAAGCAAAGTAGTGTTGTCCCGCCTCGTTACAAAAGACCAATATGGTCACTGTGCCAGAACCTTCAGTTGGTATCTAGAATCAAATATTTCCGACAATATCCCATAAATTGGCCAACAAGAGAGCTAAGGTTTTAAGTACTTTTAATGCACTACTAAAGTTAAATCTTGTATTTCAGGGTTTTCGTCTTTCATGTACACAGTTAAATAAGAGTATACTCAACAAAACAGACAAATAAATAAAACCACAAACAAAACAACAATCATACAATTCTTTATAGTTGAGCTATGTTCCAAATTTGGAATTACACATTTGTGACCTTGAACCCTTACACTTAATTGGCTGATGATAAAATATCGTCTGCTCACGAAAATTTGTCATTTTGAAATCTATGGTAAAATGATTAATGCAATCTCCCGTGCATTTGATATCTAATGCCGATGTTTCAGATTTGGTATCGTCTAGAAAATTGTGGCAGTACAAATTTCCGTGCGTCTTGAATTGAAATTTTTCTTCCAATCCTAAACTGCCAAGGGCACAAACGCTCGTATTGTCGTTAGCACACACATTTTTACAGCACACTTCATTGTCCAAGACTCGTACACTAACAACAGATTCATAAGCACATTTCGCACAAAATCTAAAATTGTGTTTTAACGTCGTTAAATGATTGTCATTTCCTGTATATATATGGCCCAGTTGATATAACGTCACTTCCGGCGGACCACGACAATTGATATGTAAAGTGTTACCAACGGATCGCGACCCATTAAAATAGATCAACTGATCTGGTGACGTAATAGGTGGTTCTGACGGACAGAAGGCTAACACGTTTACTGTCACACTACCGGATGGAAACGGATTAGAGATTTGAGGCATGGGACAAAGTCTATTTCTAACTGACCGATCCAATAAGAGGAAGAACGGGGAATGCGCATGACTATATGGATTCTGGCCAGTTTGTAATGCAGAACACATTAAAACTAACGACGATAAAAGGCTGACGCAACTTTCAAACAAAATGTCTACGAGTTGGTCAAAATGACGATTACCGACACCGTTAATCTGCCTAGAGATATTGTAGCATACTTGTTTAAAAGCTATCTCCATAGGAACAACAGAACATACTTTCATGAAATATTTTGTAGCCATGCTGCATGTGGAATCATCGTTGGGTCCTTTTGGCAATGGGATATAAAAATTCGACATCGAGTCAGAATCGGCACTTTGTTGAAAACAGTCGTCTGGTAGTGACGGCCACAGTAATGCAGGAATGATCAAATGTGAGTTTCCACCTAGAGAAATCTTCCCCTCCAAGAACGCTCCGTTATATGCGTTCTTGCTACCACATTTCGACACACGTAACGGTAAATAAGATATACATTGTTTTTTCATTAAATTTCTTGGAAAATCGTCAACATTTCCCTTTCCACAAAGTGTTTTAAAAATTATTTGGAACAAGGGCGCGTAATCTAACAATTTCACCGTAAAAATAAAGGATTTGGCATCAAGACCAGTGAGCTGTGAAGACAGATATATTTTAAAGTCTATGCTGGTCAAATCACGTGACCATTCATAATTTACTTGAGCGCCGTTACTAAGCAACACATACGCCATATTATTTTGATCACCGAATCTAATACGAGTCTTCTCATTTTTAAAATTGCTTATAGTTAACCAATTTATTTCAAAATTATTCGAGGCTAAGCCCTTTAATCCGTACGCCTTGAGTACTGTCCCGTTGCTGAAAACCGCCTCGAAAACGCGACTATCCATCAAATGAAGATAAGATCTGAAACTCCTCACGAACACGGAACTCCTCGGTAAAACAGGTTTCATATTAACATGAGTTTGCACAAAATTTGTCCCTTCGTTTTTCCTTTTTTTGGTTTCATTAAGGTAAAATCCTAACAAGAGACATATGACCAATACCAGCAGAATGACCAAGAAAATTACTATGGCACGAAATAATTTATGTTTCCTCTTCATAACAATTCTTGTTGGCATAAATCGTAATTCTTTCCGAACTTTCCTTCCGTCCTCTTGTGATATCAACTGTCCGTTCATGCTCTCTGACGTGCCATTAGCCTTTATACCATAGTTTATCACTTCCTGTTCCTCATCACGAAGAGGAGTGAGTTCGAATTCCGTCATCATCTGAAAAAGAATGACAAAAATTATATGGGAGGATATACGTTGACAGTTGACACAATATAGCTCTTAGCTTGCCGAACATAGTAAACATCTTTGTTCGACCCACAAGCGGTTGTATTGGAATTTGGAATAATCAGATCAGTTGCTTCGATTAGTGGTGAAGCGTGATCCAGAAGTTAACATATTCCTTTGCAACGATTGGTTTATGTAGTAATTCCAGTATCATTTTTATTTTAACCTCAGTTATATTTCAACATTGGCTCTACCAGTAGATCTGATATTGGAAAAGATGACAGTCCTAACTTCGCAAAAATCATCAAACTTAATTAAATCGATAATTATAGATATTTAATATCGTGTCATGTCCATTGTTATAATACACTACCTATGGGTCCACTATTTACGAATACTGAATGGCTTCATTTTATACTACATTAGTAAATATTTGTTCGATCCCTGCATTGGCTAATATAGTTTATCGGGATTTTCCGGCGTGGTTCCCCCTTGTCAGTGGTGCAGGACAGAGGACCTGGCAAGGACAAAACCCGAGGTCCAGTGTACAAATTGGCGTGCACGTAAAAGATCCCTTGGCAGTTGGAATTCGATATAAGAGTAGGCCGTAGAGACGCTGTCTGGGCAAAATACGCCCCACAGCACACTGTATGACGTCTTCATTAGCCCAGTGGGAGCAGAACAGTAGCACGCTAAACCCCATTTCATTTTCATATCATTTAATTTAACATCATTTTCATTTTGCTTTACCTTGAATTCCACACCTAGTATCACCTAAAGTTTTTACGTTGGCCTAGTTCCACATGACATTCACGGATACCCATCTGAAAAATAGACAAAGAAAATAATAACGTATTACTATTTTAAGAACATATAATCATGATAATATTAATAAGGATATTTGTATGGAGCAACTATTCAATCCACCAAGGAATGCACTAGGCACTAAGGATAAGGGTATCTGCATAGACAGGACTTACGTACTTCTTTTACAAAACGATTTCTCATATATTCGACGGGTCATATAGTTTAATATTATATTTTGCTTTTGTTGGCATATACTGCATAGTAGTTTAGTTACTACTACGTCTTTATTGTAAGTGTGTGGGTGTGCGTGTGTGGGTGTGTGTGTGTGTGGGGGGGGGGTATAGTCGTTCGGATGAGTCGAAAAACGAGGCCTTGTGTACACATTGTCGTGTGTGTAAAAGAAACTTTGACAGTTGGAATAAGCGTAGGTCACGGTGCCACTGTCTGGACAAAATTTGAATCATAGCACACTATATGGCCCTCTTCATAAGCCCAGTCAGAACAGAACAGTAGGACGTTAAACCCCATTTCAGTTGAATTCGAATTCACTTAAAGGAGCTACCACTATTGTGTGGCGCGGTTCTCCAGTACGTGCTATTGGATTTCGGTCAATATACACTGCACCTGGCTACTCTCCTAAAATGGGATTCACGATGGCTCTGTAGTAGTAGCAGTAAAGTTGTTTATTTCAGTGATATAATATTATGTTATACAAAGAAGACATATGAAAATCAATATAGAAATACTAACACCCGGCCCAGTGGACATATATACACATTGCGTGCACGTAAAAGAACCCCTGGCGGTTAAAAACCGAAGAAGAACAGGTAGACACGACACTGTCCTGCAAAACGCTTGACGGAATTATATCAATATTGAGTTGTGGAGACATTAAACATCATTCCATTCCATTACAAATCTTGTAATTCACTCCGAAAAACAAGGGTCCCATGAGAGGTAATTGTTTTGCAACCACACATTTCCATTGCTTGAATAAACACACTCGTTTGAAATGCCCCTTTTCTGTGCCTGTTTCTTTCACATAAAACTGAAGAAAATCAATAAATAGGCAGCCTTTTATATCTTGGTTTTAGTGATAACGATGTTAATATCTAGCTAATCATCACCATAATCAATATCTTTATCATTAGTATGCTAGAGCTGAACTTCTGATTCTCAATAGACATGATGTAATATGCAGACTAAGAAATATCACATATTATTAGATCTCAATATCGCTTACTTATTCTCTGTATGTTCTATTCCGTCTACAACAGCAATTTGTCCCATTTAGTCAGACAATTATGGGTGCTATTTCTAGACACCGTTACGCTTGCAATGCTTATATCTTATCTGACTAATCTTAATTGACTCAAATTTCAAAATAATTTCACACAATAGTAATTACGTACAGTGACCAATATATGTGAAGAGTCCAGGGAAAAACGATCTAAAACACATTTTTATCTTTTTGCATAAAAAGGCAAAACAGACTTTTGGACGAGAATGCTTGACGCGAACAGAACAACGAGTGGGTTTAATTACAACTTCAAAATGATGTTTAATACGAATCATAGTTACCAGTACAACAACTGACTTCCACTTTTCAGACAAATTATTTTTCATGGAGGCCATTTCAGAAGAGCCTTGGTTCGATGTGACTCCGGTCGTTTTTACCTAAAATTTGCTACCAGATGGCGCCATTAACTGGGGCTCTTCATGTATTATTTGAAAACAAACGTGGATATGCAGTTATGATTTACGTTAGTCGACAGTATGTTGAAACAGTGCCACGGTTAACATTTAAAAACAAACAAAATTAAAGGACCAAACAGAACTAAGTTATATAAAGGAGAACGAAAAATATGAATGGTCATGAGAAATTACGCCCGCTGTATTGTAAAAAATGAAATAAAATGAATTGGAGTTGAGCTTTCTAATTTACTCCAGCAATCTGACCAACGAAGACGAGTTTAGGCCATGCAGTGTGCCTTGAAGGGAGTTTTGTCCCGACAGCGGCTATTTGGCCTACTCTTCATCGAATTCCAACTATCAATGGATCTTTAAAGTGCTACCAATGATATACATGGGACCTCGTTGCTTTTTTCCCAGCCGAACGACTAGACGCCTTCCCTTGCGCAGGCAACAACACCGGGATCAAACCCGAAACCACCAGGTTAATGAGCCAGCGCTACACTCACACCATCACCGTGGCCCAATCTGATTAAAAAACAGATCTATATACTTTCGATGACCTACACTATATGAAGATCTGACCGGTTGCACTGGGAGGTCGCGTCAGGGTTCGTAAGAGTGGCTTTTGACCTATGACGTCAGACTTGACTAATCAATCAGCGTTGACGTTTCTAGTGGGTTACCCACAGTTCCGAGCATCGCACACCAAGAACTCACCGTAACAGACCGTTTCATTGGCTAATTCCACACTTCAACCAGAACGCTGACAATATTGCAACACTTTTAAATCCTAGTGCAGTAAAGAAAAGTAAAACGAAACTTTGATCTATAAAAAACGAAACGAAATAGGGTCTGTGTTTTAATCATATTGCACCGGGGTACAAAGATTAACGTTTAGAAATATCAATTACCCATTCAATTACACGTTAACGTAAAACTAGAACAATTTTGTGAAATAAAATGGGGTTTAACGTCCCACTGTTCTGCTCCGAGTAGGCAAATGGGGAAGTCCTGGTAAAAATCCATGCGCTACGTGTGATTGGTTGTATAAGTTTAGCGGCATGGATGCCTCATTAAAATAGATTATGTAAGTATCATACATCTCTTGATTGTAAATGAAACGGACTCTAAAAATGAGAGGCGTGCTATCTGGTCAGAGATTTTATGAAAATATAGAAAAGAGAAAACCACGAGTATACTATTAGGATGGTTCTGGTTTTGGGATGTTACTCTTGCTTGTGCACAGTAGCCACAAAATCATACGTTCCGATTCTTATGGTGTCACAACATATCACGTCAGACTTTGACATTTCTTCCAGCAATAGTTTGACTTTTATATCGAGAACAACCGCTGAAATATCTGCCTGAAGCTAACCAGACATAGATGAATCGGGCTAAGAAAATTGATAGAAATAAATAGACAGTTTGTTGGGGTATAATTGGGTTTAAGGAAACGTCTTCTCATTTCGTGTCAATAATTTAATCAACACTGAAGGTCTTAATAGAAACCAGACTACAATAAATACGAGTTAATCGGGAAGCTAGAGGATCACCAATGAAAATGGTCACATTTTGGATTGGTTTTCAAGGGTAATAAAACACGGAAAGCAGTTAATGGACAACAACGTGTCTCGTATAAATACAAATACTGTGGGCTAAACTTATAAATAGTCACAATATTTATCCTTAAACCCATCCATTCAAAACTGCAGCTTTGAATTCTGTAGCGAATAAGATTCAAGGTGTTGTCAACACAATATTTCGTCCATGTTGAGAACAAAAATCGTGTACACCGATATGGTATCTACAAAGGTATGACATTATACTAGAATATAAAGAAATGGCCATTAAAGATACATTATAGGATATAAGATATAAAGAGCTGGCAGTTCTCACTATAATAGTTAAAAACAAAATTCGTGTACACCGATATGCTACTTACAAAGGTATGGCATTATACTAGAATTATTTGGAAATGACCATTAAAGATACATTATGGGAGATAAGATAAAGAGCTGGCAGTTCTCACTATAATAGGTAAAAACTAGATAATGTAAAGGCAATTTGTTGAAAATTTCAGTAAAATTGATCCAGTATGAACCGAGAATTAAGCGATTGAAATTTCGGCCTAGCCTCGAACATCATTACTAAAGTACGATAAAAACATAGTCTCGATCACCTATTTCATGATTAAATTATGAATGGAAGTAGAGCAGCAAATGGGATCATAATCCAGTAAATATCGCAGGCTAGCAATGCCACCGAGAGTTGATTTTATTGTCTGGATAAGTTAATTAATGTCTAATGCATAATTTAGAAAAGATTTCAGGCCTAAAGAAAGACCTGCAATTGGCAGATTTAACTCTTGCATAATGTATGTTTAAACAATCGAACATAAACATGAAATATTTGATAACGAACACCCTTCATAAAGTCGCTTAAATATAGAAGCGGTGTTTCGATACGTGTGTTTTACATTTTATCCCACAATCCAGTTACTAAATGCGACTAATTATAACATGGAATAATTTGATTACACCCCACCCCACCCCGATTTATATGGAAAACAATCACTGGTTTGTTCCCAACTAGTACAACGTTTCGACAAATGTTATTGTATAGTTATCAAGCACAAATGATAAGTTAGTAAACTAAAATGTAATATATATCGTGATAAAATAAGGAAGCCATACGGTCTGTGTTGTGTGTTGTTACAACACAAAGTGAGTAGTTCAATAAGTAACGTAACATTATTTACCTAATTTATCTATACATTTATAGAGTTAATTGCTTACGGTTTACATAAGATAGTTACAACAGTCAAAGGCAATTCCATACGCCATTAGAAACCAACATGGTATTTGTCTTGAGTTTTAAATATAACTAAATGGCCATAAATCACGAACGGTGTATAAAATGACAGAACGTTTAATCTCAGTCCAGACACGGCCATTTAATTTCTGAATAAGAAATATCCAATACATGATTGAAATACAGATTGGCATAGATGGACATGTACAATGCAATATAGCTGACGTGGAAGATACATACATTGAGTATAAGAGAGTATAGGATTCTAATTTAATAAAGAGCGAGGAGCATTGGTCTCAAATAAATAACTGCTTAAAGAAGAGAATTCAGAGGGTATTTACCGGATGATCTTTGTACTTTGTATACTAGCATTACGATTAATTTAATAAAGAGCGCGGAGCATTGGTCTCAAATAAATAACTGCTTAAAGAAGAGAAATGAAAGGGTATTTAGCGGGAATTGCGTACTTTTCTGCAATGAGACCAGAATAGGCTATGTAGTGTGCTACGAG